TCCGGTACCGGGAACCGAACTCACGACCTTGCGCTTGCCAGGCAGGCGCTTTTGCCGCTGAGCTAAATCCCCAGCCCCTGGCATTGTCTTTTAGCTCAGTTTTTCAGAGTTGCCTTTCTGCTTAGGCAGGTTTTCCTTCTGAGGTGACAGTATAACTGATGTGAATCCTAGAATCACATATTCATAACGTAGCAACCCCAGTGAAAAGAAGAAAACATTCTTTTTATAATAACTCTAGCGGGGCTGGGGATTTAGCTCAGCGGCAAAAGCGCCTGCCTGGCAAGCGCAAGGTCGTGAGTTCGGTTCCTGGTACTGGAGAAAAACAAAACAAAACAAAACAAACAAACAAACAAACAAAATAACTCTAGCAAGGTCTTTGAATTACCTGGGCTTCATGGCATACATCTGTAGTCCCTGCTACTCAGAAGGCTGAGTCAGGAGGCTCACTTGGGCCCAAGAGTGCAAAACCAGCCTATGCCACATAGCAGGGCCCATCTCAAAACAAAAACAGAACAAAAAACAAGGCTGGAGGTGGTGGCACATGCCAGTAACCTCAGTATTTAGGAGGCTGAGGCAGGAGACTAGCTATGAGTTTGAGGCCAGCCTAGGCTATGTGTAACTTGAGGGCTAGCCTGGACTACATAGTGAGATGCTCACTATGTCTCAAACAAATAAACATTCTCCCCTGCAAAATGCTCACACGTGCACGCAAGCACACACACACACACACACACACCCCCAAAACACCCAACCAATCAAAGCAAACCAACAAAAGAAACTCAAGTCCTAGAATAGAATCTCCTTGGATCCATTGGAGTCGTATTCTCATTACTGAACCAGTCTTCGTGCCTGAGGGTGGGATGGGGTGAAATAGAATACTCTTACTGCCCAGCTTGGAGTGTGTGTGTGTGTGTGTGTGTGTGTGTGTGTGTGTGTGTGTGTGTGTGTGTGTGTGTACCCCTGGATCTGAGAGAGGGCAGAGAACCCTCACCAATGGCAGGGACCTCAGGATGCTATTACTAGAAGAACAGGAACAGACCAGGCAAAATCAACTATATCTTCCACACTCAGGACAATAGCTGTGCACTGTGGCATGTACTGATAGTTCAGCTACTTGGGAAGCTGAGGCAGGAGGATCACCTGTGCAACACTGCAAAACTTCGGACCATGTTTATGCTATAGGGTCTTTCTGCTTAGTTGTTATTTTAATCTTAATATGTCACATATTTTCACAGAATTATGATGAATTATGATAAATTGAAATCACGTCTTGGTGAGATTCATGATAGCAAAATGCGTCTAGAGCAGGATTTGAAGAAACAAGCTTTGGACAACCGAGAAATAGATAAAAAAATGAATAGTATCAAACCCGACCTGATCCAACTGCGCAAGATCCGAGATCAGCATCTCGTGTAAGTAACATGGGGCTTCATGGGAGGGAGACACCAGCATTCAAGTACTGCTGGAAGTAGAGATGGAAGAAGAGATTTCTAATTGAGAACTGGACAGTGAGGCTATAAGAATTTAGAAGCATAGCCCTGTGTGGTGGGACAGACCAGAATGTGACATGACTCTACTTCATACACTTGGGGACCTTAGGTAGTGGTTGTGCCGTGGTGATTAAGAAGCACAGATTAGCCAGGCGTGGTGCAGCCTGAAAAGGCCAGTGCTGAGGAAGCTGAAGTAGGAGGATCACTGCCAGTTTAAGGCCAGCCTGGGCTACATAGTGAGATCAAAGCCAGCCTGGACTACAAAGTGAGACCCTACCTCACAAAAAGAAAATAAATACATAAAAAGTTAAAGAAAAGGCAGGGAGCTCACAGCCAGATGTGGTGGCACATGCCTGTAATCCAAGCACTTGGGAGGCCGAGACAGGAGGATCACTGTGAGTTCAAGACCGGACTGGGCTACAAAGTGAGTTCAAGGCTGGCCTGAGCTGCATAGTGAGACCCTGTCTCAAAAAAAAAAAGGAGGGGGTGGGGCCGGGGATATAGCTCAGTGGCATAAGTGCCTGCCTGGTAAGCGTAAGGTCCTGAGTTCGATTCCCGGTACCAGAAAAAAAAGGGGGGTGCTGGGGATGTAGCTCAATGTGAAGACTGTAGGTTCAACCCCTAGAACTGAATAACAACAATGACAAAAATACCGTGGGTATAGCATGTAATGGAGTGCTTGTTCAGTATGTGCTAGGCCCTGGGTTCAATCCCCAATACAACATCAGCAACAAAGTTAAGCAAGTATACATAGCATACTGAAGAGCTTTAAGAATAAGGGAAGGAGATGGAAAAAGCAGGGATTCTTACGTAGTTGTGGTCACATCATGAAGCTGAAGAAAGGCCTAAGAAGACTGTGCTGTGAGGTAGTGGGATGAAGGGAAGCAAGTCTTGTCCTAAAAAGCAGTAAAGATATTAGGCGCTATGCCATCCCAGGGCCATAATTAAGTGTGGTATCAGTCCATTCAGGCTACTATAACAAAAATACTGGAAACTGGTATCATATAAAAAAACTGCTCACAGTTTTGGAGCTTGGGAAGACTTAGATCAAGGCATCAGCAGATTCAGTGTCTGGTGAGAGCTACATACTGTAATAGTTTTTGGGATAAATTATTACAACTACACTGTGCTGAATAATTTTTAATAGCATCCTTCTCAAGGGATTATTTCTATTTGCTGTTGTGGCCAAGAAAAGCCCTAGAGGTACTCTGAATGTTGATCTGAGTGTGCTCACATTGGTTTGTATGTATATAAAAGTTCAACAGTCTGCACACATACAGTTAACACATTTGATATGTGTTATAACTCAGAAAGGACATTTAACATTTTTCTTAGGTATAAAAATTGTTTATATTTCTTTAAAAAAGAAATTTCGTTGTTTATATGCAGTTTGTTTTCATCATGAGCTAAGGTTAATTTTCAGGAGTACCATTTACTTTTCTTGGTACTTATAAACTTAACAAAAAGAATGACTCGCCATCACACTGTTGTGCAATAATGAGAAATATGTACTAGGGGAGTTTGCCGATCAAGGAGTCCTGTGGAGGGTGTGTGTTTCTAGCAACTTTACTGATACATAATTGACATCCATGCAGCTCACTCATTTCAAGGGTATAATTCAAAGCTAGGTGTGATGGCACATGCCTGCAGTATCAGCTGTTCAGGTGGCTGAGATGGAAGGATCACTTGTGTCCACAAGTTTGAGACCAGGCTGGGCAACATAGTTAGATACCTCAAATTTTAAAATGTGTATAATTCCATATTTTTTAGTATATTTACAGGTATTTACAATCATCGCATATTTTAGAACATTTTCATCATCTTAAAAAAGAAACCCTGGAAGCTGGGTGTGGGGGCACGTGCCTATAACCTCAGCACTCTGAAGGCTAAAGCAGAAGAATCACACTTGCAGTCCAACCTGGGTACCTTGGTGACTCCTTAGTGACTTAGCAAGATCCTATCTCAAAATAAAACATTATAAAAAGAATGCCCAGCAACACACACACACACACACACACACACACACCAATCCTATACCTTTTACCTATTATCCCTATCCCCTATATCATCTTATCTCCCCACTCCTAAACAGCTACTATTCTTTGCATCTTAATGGATTTAACTGTTCATGACATTTCCTGTAAGGGGAAACATACCATGTAATCTTTTATGACTGGCTTCTTTCACTTAGCATGTTTCCAAGTTCATCCGTGTTGAGGCACATACCAGTACTTCATTTTTATGGCCAAATAGTTTTCCATTAAATGTATGTGCCCCATTTTATGTAACTGGCATCAACTGATACACATTCAGATTGTTCTTACCTTTTGACTGTTACTGTTGATGCTGCTCTAGACATTCATGTACATGTTTTGTGAACAGATGTTCTCCGTCCTATTGAGTATACACAAGGAATGGAATTCCTAAATTATACTGTAATTCTGTGCTTAACTGTTACGAAAACTGACTGAACTGTTTTATATTCACAGCTGTGACAGTGTAGTTTTCTTAAAGTGAATCACTTCTTATTTTGGTTGTTGTTGTTGTTGTTTTGGTACCGGAACTCTAATTCAGGACCTTGTGTTTGCCAGACAGGTGCTTGGACTGCTGAGCTGTATCCCTGGCCCTTGAATCACATCTTAATATATTTCTGATAACTCTTGACTTTTTTCCTGGTGCTGGGGCTTAAACCCAGGTCCTTACTCATGTTAGGCAGGTGTGTTTTAACACTGAGCTATGCCAGGCGTGGTGGCACACGCCTGTAATCCCAGCACTCGGGAGGCTGAGGCAGGAGGATCGTTGTGAGTTCGAGACTAGCCTGGGCTACAAAGTGAGCTCAAGGCCAGCCTGAACTGCAGAGCGAGACCCTGTCTCAAAAAAAGACCAAAAAAAACCCCAAAAAACAAAAAAAAAAAACACTGAGCTGTACAGCAGCACTAATTACTCTAAATAGTTAAAAGTGGTTTTTCTCTTCAAAGTAATATATAGAGTATCTTGCTTGACTCTTATTTAGGGAATATGAAATTTGGTCTACAAAACTTGATGTAAGACAAGTTTGTATTCTTTATAAGTTGAAATTAATTCATTCCAAGCAGCCATCTGCTTGGTTCACTTTTTTGTTGTTATTGTTTCTGATTTTTTTTTCTGGTACGGGAAATAAACTCACGACGTTGCGCTTGCCAGGCAGGCGTTGTGCTGCTGAGCTAAATCCCCAGCCCCTCGCCTGCCTAGTTATATGGAAAATTTTTTATGCATTTTTCGTTTGAGACAGAGTCTCACTCTGTATTTTAGTTTGTTTGTTTTTTTTGGTCTTTTTTTTTTGGTTTTTCTCTGGTACCGGGAACCGAACTCACGACCTTGCGCTTGCCAGGCAGGCGCTTTGCCGCTGAGCTAAATCCCCAGCCCCCTCACTCTGTATTTTAGGCTGGCCTTGAATTCACTTTGTAGGCCAGGGTGACCTTGAACTTGCAGAGATCCTCCTGCCTCTGCCTCTTGAGTGCTGGGATTATAGGTGACTGGTTTTATATGGAAAATATTTAACCTCATTTATTACTGGGGCTCTTCCTAGTTCCTATACACACACACAGTCACAGTTGGGTCCAGTAACAACTGCTTCCCTGAAGTAGTACCAGGAAACTAGGAGAAGACAAAGCCCTTTGTCTCTCTCTCCTCACCGCAGTTATTATTAGACCCTGCCTCTGCCCTTAGTCCTCAGGCCCTGCCGTATGGTTAGTGCTCTTCCTAGAAAATTCGGGGGTACCCATTACAGTAACCTCCTAATTGACGGCTGAGAGGCTGCTTTTCTTTTGTACTGGGATTGAGCCCAGCGCCTGTGCACTGAGGTACTAAAGTATATCCCCAGCCTTTTTTATTTTCAGACAGACAGGGTGTCACTAAGTTTCCCAGGCTGGGCTTGAACTGGGAGTCCTCCTGTCTCAGCCTTCTAGAATGCTGGGATTACAGGTGTGTGCACCACACCTGGCCAGATTCTGCATCTTAAAACTCTCTTCTTGTATTCTATTGAAGGTGGCCTGTACTTAAGCCACTCCATTTCATAGCTTAGCTGTGCTCTAGCTGGCATAAGGAATATGATGAAATGCTCCTCCAGGACTACTGCTTTAGCTTTGAACAATTTTTCCATCCTTTGCCTCAGAGACTTCCTGTCTTAATCTTCTAGTTTAGAGTGAAACAGAAACCCTTTTCCTCTTAAAGTGTGACAGTTGGGTTATAAGGCCGATTAGGTCTTTAGAAATGATAGTATATACACGTTTTCCCCCCAGTTGCTGGGGCAGGGGCAAAGAAAGGATGATAATTAACTATTCTCTCTCTCTGTCTCTCTCTGTCTCTCTCTCTGTCTTTTTGAGACAGGGTCTCACTATGCAGTTCAGGCTGGCCTTGAGCTCACTTTGTAGCCCTGGCTAGTCTGGAACTCGCAACGATCCTCCTGCCTCAGCCTCCCAAGTGCTGGGATTACAGGCATGCGCTGCCATGCCCGGCTTTTTCTCTCTTTTTAAAGATAATGTTAATATTAAATATAGCCTGCCAGTAAATATTTACTTTATATTAATTGAATGTCCTGTGCTTGCACTATTTTAAACATTGGGAATATAGCCATGAACAGGACAGGACCCCCACCCCACCCCTTTTTTAAAAAAGCAACTTCATTATATGTAGTGGAAATACAGAATTGTGAGTTTCAGCCAAGTGCTGTGAACACGATGAAGTGAGGTCCATTGTAGGGCCGGAGGGGACTGGCTTAGTTAGAACAGTTAGGGGAGACACCCCGAGGAGGTGCTCGTGATGCGACCTGACTGCTAAGGAGCCTTTGCTTGGGTTGGGAAGTGAAACTTTTTACATTGCCCTTCACTTTTAGACCATCGGCCATCAGAAAGGAACTAAATGTGCTGGTTTACAACCTTTGATAGCTAAATGTTAATATTTTAAGATACTATGATTTGCTTGATGAGGAAGTAAACTCATATCAGTTACTCAGATTGCTAGCCTGAATTTCTTATGGTTTATTTAGGTGCAGAAATAGACTTTGAATTTCTGGTTAGAATTTGAAACTTAATTCAGTGGGCCACACAGGGAGTGGATCTTGTCATGTAGTGGAAATTGGGATGTGCACCAAACTGACGATTTCAGAAACAAATGTCCTCCTGCATTTGAGTGCAAGTGTGTGTATATTTGGTGGCATAAGCTTTTAGAAAATGAAAATGAAAAGTGAAAGATATGCCTAATTTCAAGTAGCTTTCTGTATTTATGGCTTTTGCAAAAAAGATTAATTCATTATGGTAATAGGCTTGTTTTTCCTTTTTAAAAATTAGTACTTATCTGTAGTACATAATCAACATGCTATTAGTCAAAAGAAAAGTAATAGAGATACCTGGGTGTGGTGGCACATGCCTGTAATCCCAGTACTTGGGAGGCTGAGGCAGGAAAATCACCATGAGTTTGAGGCCAGCCTGGACTACATAGTGAGTGAGGTCAAAGCCAGCCTGAAGTACATAGCAATACACTGTCTCAAAAAACCAAAACAGTCGGGCATGGTGGTACATGGCTATAATCCCAGCACTTGGGGAGGCTGAGGCAGGAAGATTGCTGTGAGGTTGAGGCCAGCCTGGGTCACATAAGTGAGTTCAAGGCCAGCCTGCACTACCTACTGAGACCCTGTCTCAAAAAACAAAATAAAACAAAACTAAAACAAATGAGAGAAACAGAGAGAGGTAGGTATAGGGAAATTGAAGGAAGGCTCTGGCTACTCCTGGTGATATTAGAGGTATAAGTTGTTCCTGGACTGTCGAAGTTTGGTTGGCTTGGACATAGGTACTTTGTCTGGGCAGTTTACATAAGACTGACACTGGCGTCTTCCCTCTGGCAGGTGGCTCAATCACAAAGGAGTGAGACAGAAGCGGCTGAATGCATGGCTTGGAATCAAGAATGAGGATGCTGATGAGTAAGTTCTCTGTGAGCCTTTGTGTCAGGGCACTGTGTTACCAGTGTGGGATGCGGACTGTCCTTACACACGCTGAGAGTAGGTTCTCACTGTCATTTGATGATACTGAATCAGGAACTTTGCAACCCTTTTGAACTGCAGAGGGTTTACAGGCATTTGAATCAAGGAGCCTGCTGGCCACTGGACACATGCATGCTGCTATACAGACATTCGTGTTTCAGCTTCCTGGTTGGAAGATGTGAGTTCTGTGCTTTGTGTACCCCTGCGGGTAATGCAGTTGTTACAAAAAAACACTGACTGACCACAAGTTTGCCTGTTATTTTATGGCTAAAGATTTAGAAGATCATTTTATTCATGAATTTGCTTTTAGGTATAAAAGTGTTTTATTCATGAATTTGCTTTTAGATAGAAATTGTCATTAAAAACATTATTTTTAATATTTAACTTTTAGGGCCTATTTTATCAGTGAAGAAGATGAAAACCTGCCGCATTATGATGAGAAAACCTGGTTTGTTGAGGATATCAATCGAGTGCAAGCAGAGGACTTGCTCTTCGGGAAACCTGATGGTGCTTTCTTAATCCGGGAGAGCAGCAAGAAAGGCTGCTATGCCTGCTCTGTGGTGTAAGTCTTCTGTGCGAAAAATGAATTAGGAAAAGTGACATCTAAAATTATCTTAGGGATTTAAATATACATGATAAACAAATCACTTAATTCTTTAGTAGTGTCCTGTATGCCTAACTTGGTTTCCATTATCAGATTAGGGAAGGCTTGATTAGATAGAACTGTTTTTCCTTCAGAAGAGAAACTGTATCTAAATTTTAAAATGGAATACTAATCTGTTGAGGTAGTGATAGAACATAAGGGTATATTTTCCTTAAGATAATTTTATGAGTTTTTGTTTTTTTAAAGCTTGTTTCCTTTTACTAGAATTAGCTGATTGTAGTAGCACATGTGGGTGATCCCAGCACTTAGAAGGCTGGAGCAGGAGGATCTTGAGTTTGGACCAGTCTGGATAACATAGTGAGACCCTGTCTTAAAAAAAAAAAAAAAAAGTGAGTGAGAGTGAAATCATGTGATAAGCATTAACCATGTCTTGGTCAGATTTTGCTTGAGTGCGGTGTATATTCCTTGAGAAGGCAGAGATACCATTGACAGAGTCCATCCTTGGAAAGGAAATATCATGATCACGAGGGCAGGCTTTGGTGCCAGATACATTGCACTCAATCTTGGCTCTACTGCTTCTTTGCCTAGTTTCTTAATCAGTAAAAGAAGAATGCTAATACAAATACCTACTTTGGGGGTTTTGTGAGGATTAAATAACTTAGTATGTGCAATGTAATATGCTTTGAACATTGCTGATACATAATAAGTAAGTACTACCTACTAATACTGTTAGAGAGGGGCTGGGGATTTAGCTCAGCGGCACAATGCCTGCCTGGGAAGCACAAGGTTGTGAGTTTGATTCCCGGTATTGGAAGAAAAACAAAAAAAAACCATTTAGAACCTACTATTAGGATAATGATACTAATAACAGACATGGCAGAAGGCAAGCAAAGATGACAAAGCAGCTGTGCCTTCAGAGAGGGTGGGTGGAGAGGACAGAAGAAAGACCGCCATAGTAACGGTGCTCAATGCTTACGTCTTGCCTTCAGTTTTCTATTTATGTCATTCAAAATTTGAATCCAAATTTATCAGCTTTCAAAACCCACATATTTTAGCTGCACCAGTTAAAAATTTTATTAGCATCCTTCTTTTACTGATTAAGAAACTAGACAAAGAAGCAGTAGAGCCAACATTTGAATGCAATATGTCTGGCACCAAAATTTATAAAAACTTATAAAAATTTCATAAAATATCCAAGATAAATAGAATCACTATGAAATAGGTATCATTAATAGACTGTGCACATGCAGAACCATTAATTCTCATGGGAGAAAAGCAGGTTGAGATGTTTTAGAGAAGAGGCCTTAGAGCCAGACTCTGAAAGGATAAATGGTTATCTGTGAGCAAAAAGTAGAAGTGGAAAAATGAATTGGGTTACTGTCATTTCAAGATGGAACTACTTGTACCATCTCCTTTCTCTTTGACCTGGGCTGCTTAGGTTATCTGAGTTGAAATGACAGGAGAGGGTGATTTTATAAAATTTGGGCTCTTTTAGAAATAATAAGAAAAGGAAGGCAGTAAGCTCAATTCTTTATTCTCACCCAGGTCATTGGTTGGCAGCCTGTAGGTTAAGGACGAGGCTGTGGAAGGTGCTGTCCAGCAGCTTGGCTAACCTTGGGAAACAAAGGAACAGCCGGAAACTCGAAGAACTGTCTTCATGTTCCCCTCCCCTTAGCAACAGTCTTGTCCACAGCGGTGTAGATTTTCCTTGCCTACGAACACTGTCCCCACTTCATATTAGAGCTCATATTGAGGATGGTCAGAGACAGAGAGAGGCTGGCATCGTGAAGATTTCCAACTGTTTGCCACCTTGCAGTGATCCCCAGTATACTTTGGACATTTGCTGAAGTAGGGACCTGAGTAAGTTCAGTTTTCAGGAGAATCTCATAGCAAATTTAAAATAATCATATTGTCTGATTAAAGATACAGTGAATGTTTAAAATGTTAAAAATTACTACAGTAAAAGACATTGCCACTAACCCTCCTTAAATTACTCCTCCTATTTTGCACACATCCCATCATTCTTGCCTCTTTCTAAAGCAGTTTTGGAAGTCCTTTTTTTTATTATTATTATTTTAAAGAGTAAAAGAAGGGTAACATAGTAATGGGGGGCTTGCCAAATTACAGACAAAGTGGTAGGAAATTATCAATGGTTGCTGTTTTACATATTGTTATCTATAAGATAATTTCTCAGGAAAACAAATAGACAAATAATAGTGAGTTACAGACAGAAGTGGTAGGTTATTATCAATGGTTGTTGTACTATACTTTGGTATCTTCAAAGTGGTTTCTAAAGAAAATAAATAGAGCTATACATGAGTGACCTATTGAATAATCATTAACTATTCTCAATGGTTGTTGTAGGAAACACATAATAATAAACATGCCTCCATTTACAAAACAGGATAGGAACAATATAAACATTACAGAGTTATGGACAGATTAGTAGGAAAATATCAATGGCTGCTGTAATACATGGTGGTATCTTCAAAGTAGTTTCTCAGGAAGACAGAGACGTGCAAGAAAGATCTAACAAGTAGTTACAGCCTAAGGGTTGTGAAAAATAGTGTATGACCTCCTCACCAGTGACTCCTTTCACTGAGATGTGACAGCAGGAAGGAAGGCCAGGACTGAAAAGAAGGACCGAGAGATTGCACCTGTTTCTAGCAACAGGCTGTTTTCTTTTTCCTCTATAGTCATGATTACCCAGGGCTCCTCCATGGAGATGACAGTCTGGCCAGAGGGAGAAGGCAGAGTATGCCCTGGGCCCCCTCATTCCTGTTGGACTAACTGGTAGGATGGGTCTGAGCTCTGGGACCTCCACTTCAGAGGGCAGACCAATTGCCAGTGGTTACCTTTTCATTCAGGGCATGGCCCAGGGGGCTTCTTAGGGCAGTCCCTCTTGAGATGGCCTGGCTTTTAACAGTGGTAGCAGGTGAATGCGGTTGTCGAGTTCTTCTTGGGGCCCCGAGAATCACTTAGGGTCTGTTTCTCTTGGTGCTGCAGCAAAAGCAGCTGCTTTTTCTCAGTCTCTTTGTTTTCTCTCCTTGGCCTCCCCCTTGTCATGGCTATAGAACACTGAGAGGGCAGTTCTTACTAACATGTCAAGTGAACCATCTGGGGCAAAAGCCATTTTTTGTAGCTTTTTCTGTCCAGCCTCCTAGCACATTGGGACCCCATAACCACTTAGTGTCCTCTCCCCAACTGTCAGCACAGGCAGCAGGAATCTCAGTGCAGACCTCTCTGGAGCTCCACACGCTCCTGCACCACAGCCTGTACTGTCAGGGGAAGAATGGCTCCCAGGGGCTCTCCCCAGGTAATGCACAAGGTTCTCCTGGTTTCCAGATTCTGAACGGCTCTCGTGACCCCAGTCAACTAGACCTCTGAGTCTTCGGGCATAGCCTGTATTCTTGTGTTCTTTGAGTCCTTGTTCAGCAGCTGCTATTCCACTGACTCTGGACCTTTCTGGTTCTCAACGGCAGGGGCAAGAGTGACCCATTGTGTGGCATGTTTTCCCAGGGGTTTCTCCATGTCAGGATAATTCATGCACGTCCCTGGGTGGGCCTGCTCAGACAGTGCGTCGCGGGCCAGTTGTGTCATTGCTTCTCTGTGCTGTGATAGTCCTCGATTGTGTGGTGGTGGCTGGCTTGAGGGCCACTGCGCAGCAGTGCATGCTGGTGCACGGCTTCCCAGGCACCAACTGCCCACCTCCTGGGCACTTACGCAGTTAGGATCCAGCCCAAAGGCCAGCGCTCCCCGCCATGTGGCTTCCCAGGCACAGGCAGCCCGCCTCCTGGGCACCTGCACAGCTAGGGTCTGCCCAAAGGCTGGCGCTCCCTGCCGCATAGCTTCCTGGCACTGACTGCCTGCCTGCCAGGTGGTTGCATGGCTCGGGTTTGGACCAAAGGCCAGCACTCCCCACCGCGTGGCTTCCCAGGTGCTGACTGCCCGCCTCGCAGGTGCCTATGCAGCTCGGGTCTGGCCCAAAGGCCGATGCTTCCTGCTGCGTGGCTTCCTGATTTTAAAGTAAAAGCTTTCAATTTTTGTGCTAGGATTACAGGTGGGTGCCAAAGAAAGGAACATTTTTATAGAAATTTTTAAAAGATAATTAAGGAATACTATAAACACTTCGTATGTCAAGAATTTTAAAAAACCTATATTTATTGTTGGGCAAATTTCTGGAAACTCATGAACTCCCAACACTGATTCCAGAAAATTAGAAAATCTAAATAGAACTGTAAGAAGAAATTGAATTATTAATTAAAAAAAAAAAACCTACTTAGAAAGCAAACCCCAGGTCCTGGTGGCTTTACTGGTAAATTTTTAACACATATGTAAAAGAAAAATGCTTAAAAAAAAAAAAAAAAGCTACAAAGTGAGTTCAAGGCCAGTCTGAACCACATAGTGAAACCCAACTCAAAAAGACCAAAAACAACATCAAAACACCCTAATCTTTCACAAACACTTTTAAAAATATAGAAGAGGAAAGAATACTTTCTAAAGCTATTCCTTATGTAATGAATGACCTACCTATGTAACAACTCTTTGGATTTAGGACCATGGTGTTATGTTCAGATTTAAATTTACAACCTGCTGCTTGGATTATGAATAGTCTTTTTTTTTTTTTTGTACAGTTCTATACATCTTATTTAAAGAGCCTCAGTGTATTTTTTTGTACAGTATACCTTGTTTATAGAGTGCTGTAATCCTTGCTGATCATACTGTACAACACTGTAGTTTCATGTTGTTATACATTACAGTACTGCATGTAAGAATTATACAAATGAAAAGCAGTCATCAAGTTGGAATTTCCTTTGACGATTTCTTTGTTTTGAGTATTGTAATGTAACATTATAGACAGTTTCTCATTTAGCAACCTAGTTGCAGGAATGGAATTCAATCATTAAATGATGAGTGTCTGTAATTCATTGTATGAGAGCAGTATTACCTTGACACCAAAAAACAGACACAGGTATCAGAAGAAAAGTAAGTTATAGAGTTTATCTGCAACACTCATCAAGGATACGGCTTTCCAGAATGTTAAAAAAAATCATTTTCAAAATACTAGCAAGGGAGCTCTAGAAGGATATAGAAAGGATTAGATTCCATGACTAAATAGGATTCATCCTGAGGATGCAAGGGTGGTTCAACATGAGAAAAGCAATTAATGTGATAAACCATGTTAATAAAGAAAAAAAAAATACATGATAATTTCAATAGATTTGGAAAAAGTTTTTGCAAAATCCCACACTCTTTTATGTTAAAAAAAATAAAACAAAACACTGCAGAAGCCGGGAGTAGGAGGGATTCTCACTCCCGGATGAAGTGTACCAGTGAGAATCCCACAGCTAAGGTCATACTTGGGGATGCATAACTGCTTGTCTTCCCCTAAGATGAGGACGCCCAGAGGCCCGCGCTTAGCACGGCGCTGCTCTTCATCGTTGTACAGGAGGCTTTAGCCAGGGCAGTTAGGCAGGAAAAAGAAAAGACATCCAGATTGAAAAGGAAGAAATAAACTGTTAGAAGTGAGTTCATAAAAGTTTCAGGTTATACAATATGAAAGTATATTTCCACATATTAGCATGAACAATCCAAAAATGAAATGATACTGGGTGTGGTGGCACATGCTTTTATAGTCCCAGCATTTGGGAAGCTGAGGCAGGAAGATCACAGCAAGTTTGAGGCCAGCCTGGGCTACATAGTGAGTTCATGCCCAGCCTGAATTACATAGCAAGACCCTGTCTCAAAAAGCAAAACAAAACAAAAAACAAAAAAAAAGACTTGCCATTTATAATAGCATTAAAATGATGAGATAACTAGGAATAAAACTAAAGAATTGTATGTGAAAATTAGAAAACGTCATTGAAAGAAGGTAAAGAAGACTTTACCTTAGTCAGTGAAAAGACATCCTGAGTATTAAGAATACTTAAGATAGCAATACTTCCCAAGTTGGTTGTACACATTCGGGACAATCCTGTCAAAATCCCAGCTGGCTATTTGCAGATGATAAGATGTTCCTGAAATTCATATCAAAAGGCAGGGGACCCAGGATAGTCAAAACAATCTTGAAAATGTAGAAACAAGTTGTAGTACTCACACCTCTTGATTTTAATACTTAGTACAGAGATACAGTAAGACCGTGAGGTCCTAACATAATAGAGGTCCTAACAAAATATAGGTCAGTGAATAAAATTGAGAGTTGAGAAATAAACTCCTTAGCTTTATGGTTGTTTTAATGTATTTGTGGGCAGGTCTGTGAGAGGGTGAGGGGAACACAATTTTCTAAGTTTTGATTGAGAAAACACTTCTGAGTCTCCTTGGTGTAACTACTGTTGTCAGATCTCTGGCCATTTATTGACCCTTTTATCTGTTGTTATCTGCCTTAACATGCTTCCTATGGTTTATCATTGCAGTGCTGACGGGGAAGTGAAGCACTGTGTGATCTACAGCACTGCTCGGGGATATGGCTTCGCAGAGCCCTACAACCTGTACAGCTCTCTGAAGGAGCTGGTGCTCCACTACCAGCAGACATCCCTGGTTCAGCACAACGACTCCCTCAACGTCAGGCTTGCCTACCCTGTCCACGCACAGATGCCCTCGCTGTGCAGATAAAGAGGGAGAACACGCTAGCATTTTTCTAGTTTTTATTAGACTATGAGGGCATTCTTTCTACGTGGACTGCTTGTTTTGCACAAGAAGTGATTTTGTGAATGTGAAGTGGAGAGGCCAAGCAGTAGCCGGCCAGGATGGGAAAATAAGGGGCCTGGGGTCTCTGGGACTCAGCGGTGCCGCTGCACTGAAATATGAAGATGAAAGCAGATGCTGTTTTTTGGAAAGTCTTTTCCATTGGGGGGTTTGTTTCTGTTTAGCCAGGTACCCTCACCAGAACGTGTACTGGGTTTGGGGATAGAGGGTGGGATTTGAAAGCCTCTGAAGAGACACCTTCTCTTCTGATCCACTCTGTTGGGAGTTCTGTTTTACTCTGGTAGTCACTCTTTCTCCCAAAACAAGGTTGTCTGTGATACAGTTCAAGTTGGTTTTTTAAAAAAGCAACCAAAGGAGAATAGGGAGACTTGGGATTTCATTCAAAAAAAAATCTAAGCCAACAGGGTTAAAAAAAAAAACAAAAAAACCCCAAACCCTTCAATTGAAGGTACTTTATTTCTTACAATCATAATTAACAATTTAGGCTTTACCATCGCACTGTCTTCCCCCCTCTAAAGAAACATATTATTCAGAAACGAACAGAGCAATGTTTGTTGCCAGGCCAAGGTCTAAACAGAAAAGGTGGCACTGGTAGCTGAATGCAGGCTTCTGTAACCAAAACTTGAAAATAAGAGAACTAGAAATGTGAGTTGTAGCAAACACTAAAATCTGTCAGTGCATTTTCTTCTGTCCCGCCTTGTGTCTCTGAGATGAGGAATAGCATTCTTTTCGTGCGGATAGTGAACTTTGAATCATATAATGAAGTTGGTGCTTGTGTGGTGTACCTTTAGCCTAAAGAATGATCTGTTGTTTGAAAACTTTGTAACTTGTTTGTATGAGTAAAGAAAAAGTGCAATCCAGTGCTTTTAGATGGCTTGATATACCAAATATAGAACAACATTCTTATATGTGCTTCCCCATATTTAAAGGCCCTGCAAGAGGCCAGGTGTGGTGGTGCATGCCTGTAATCCCAGCACTCGGGAGGTTGAGGCAGGAGAATTGCTGCAAGTTTAAGGCCAGCCTCGGCTGCATAGTAAATTTAAGGTCTGCCTGAACTGCAAATAGCGAGACCCTGTCTCCAAAATAAGAAAGGCCTTGCAAGAACAATATGGCTTAAGTTACATGGTTTAATTTCATCTCCTGTCCTTTGCTGGTAGGGTTTGGGAGCCATAGGTGACTAAGGAAAGGGAATCAGATTGTGTGAGAGACCTCAGTAAATCACAGACCCATGGTCCTGTTGTCCAGGGTGAAGGTTCATACCACGTTACACATACCGTGGTTTCTGAAGTTTTTTCAGGGAGAAGAGAAGGTGGCTTTGAGTTTAAATTGTTAGTAGAAGCCATCTGGAGGCTTTCGTCTTTGCCTTTTTGTTATCTTGCCATTAAGGCAATGTGCAGAGTCTGCTCTCATGCTTCAGTGGTTGTGATTTTAGGCCAGGAATCTTCTGCTTCATGTGGCTTCAACCTTTCAGCTGAGTGAAACTAGCTGAAGAGTGGAGGGCAGGCATCAACTGCTGACTCCTCTATGCCCCACACTCATTTGCCAGAGACCAGCTGCCCCGAGCCAATCCAGGAACCATAATGGACTTGGTGTGAGTCAACTGTTTGAGCCAGGGCTGTGCAGTCAGCCCTCTGGGCTGAGCTACAGGAGTAGCCAGTACCCAGGTCTGTACCCAGGTCTGTAACGCTGATAGCTAAGAAAGCTCTTGTTTCGGGGCTGAAAGAAAAATACTACTTTACCTGAGCACTTATCTGGGTGACAGTGTCTAGAATGAACCAAGACGGATTAAAGTTTTTGGAAAAACTTCCAGTTTCTAGCACTGAAGATAGGAAAGAAAGGGTGTATCTTTGGCTTTCCTTGTTCACGTTGGAGTTTCAGGACTGGATAAGATCAAGACAAATGAACCCCTCCAGTATTATTGTTTCGACTTAAAAGCCCTTAACTGACAGCCAGCACATCGTTTCCCCAAACTGCCAGATTGAAATCTTGCTGCAAGTTTTACTGAGGAATGCCAGGCTAATGGCTGCTGGCCCTACCCAAGTGGTTTGCACCTGATGTTGAACCTGCTTAATAACCAGTTGATGGTCAAGATTGGGTGCAAGGAATCCCTCCTATACGGTTCTAGTGTGTCCTGAATGTCTTCAATCAATATAGAACAGGATACATCCTTGTAGTGTTGATGAGTATGTGTGTCTGTACCTTGTTGGACAGACATGGAGGTGTGCAGGGAGAGCAGGCACCGACTGAGTATCTACACTTGGGCTGAGTTGTGGAGAAAGGGTGCTGTTTGTCCATTGTTCATTCTTTTTTACCCCTTTTTCATTCTTGAATTTATTGCCTTGTAGGATCTAAGACCCAAGATGAGTTGAGAAAGCGGAGTGTATCCTTTGTAACCAGTTGTCACATGATTCGCTCTATCCTGAGCCAGTGGGAATGGCACAGGGGCCAGTATACCAACCACAGGGCTCCAAGTGTGTTGGGAGGCAAGATGCTGCTCCTTTATCCTACGGCTTGGGAGCAAATCTTGGCTTCTTATGAATCTAATTCTACATCCTACCCCTTGATCTGGGCCCTGGGAATCTCTCTCTTGGTATCTTAACTGCATCTCACTGTGACAGAGGTAGAGACAGATCGAGACCAGAAGGGCTCATCTTTCTTCTGGCTACGTAAGCCAGCCATCAACCTGAAAGCGGAATAGGGATGGCTGGACACAGGTCCTAGGCCCTTCTTTTCGAGGAGGAGCTTTCATCACAGAACAACACCGTCTCTTCTTGGCTATAGGTACCAGAAACGTGCCATGGCTTGGTAGGGTGCCTGTGTCCTTCTCACTGACCAGCCCAAGGATGAAGACTTCCAAACAGTTCCACTCCCTCTCCAAGACCTTGTGGGATTTCCCATTTACTTTAGACCTCAGACGCTCTGAAGAAGCTTTAAGAGCCAGTTTGGTGTCTTCCATGAGTTTTCTCTTCTTGCTGCAAGGAACCAACCCCGTGTATTCTGTTGAGCCAGGAATTGCTTCTGGGCAAGTCCTGGTTTCCAGATTGATCTGTTACCAGTTAAGACTCCAGAGCAGGCCTTAGAAACCAGAGGGTCCGAAGGGGACCTGCCTAGGCCCCTTGCTGCCAACTGCTCACCTTGCTTTATCTCCAGCCACTTGTGACAGACAACATTGTTTCCTTATAAATTCCAGCATGTGACTTTGGTGCCCTGTTGTTACTTGTGAAAAATCTGTTCTTCTGTTGTCTTTGATGTAGTCCAAAAAGATTCATGTAGTTTACATAAAAATATGATTCACAAGGAAGCCAACCGTGTGTCTTGTGTTGAGACAATTCATAATGTAGTTCCTAGACCACTTTTGCAAATTGTTTATGTCACCAGATGTGTTCAGACATTGCTGTGCAGTTGTGGGGAGGGTCGGGGAAGGTAAGTGGTGATACCGTACTGGTTGGGCATTTTGTTTTTTACCTTCCCCAAGAGGGGATCGTCTGGCCAACTTACTCCAGTAATGCAATAAAGACATTGTAATAAAAGCACTTTTTTGTCTTCATGTTATGGAGGGGTAGGCTGGGGGCAGGCTGGGGGAGGGGATAAGATAAGCGGTCTAGGGTACTGAAAATCATTAGAACTAACCTGTCCATAAGCACCGAAAAACGGGTCCTGGGGCTGAACTGGTCCTCCAGAGGTCATGGCATAATCTTCTTTCCACCCAAAACAGGACATAGACTCAGATACTGAGTGAGGAGATTAAAACTGAGGGCCACTCCCAGCCCTCTTCTCATTTCTTTACTGGGTCTCACCATGTAGTTTTGCTCAGAAATAGAAGTGTTTCTGCATTCTACCTGGAGGCTGGGGCTCCTGTTGCCTCAGGCCGTCTGCTCTCCAAGGCACTTTAGGGTTCCTATTTGTGGGGAACACAGTCGGCACACAGCCTCTTATGTGGGACAGTGCACTTCTCAGCCATGGGTTTCCGGCCTCACATGTGTACTCAATTACAAAATCAAATCAAGCACGGGAAGGGCCAGTGGTTCTAAATGACCTTACCTGTGTTCTTCTTCTCCACTATACTTTAGCTACGCAGCACTTTATAGACTACTGATGTGAAGCCGGGGATGGTGCACACCTGTAATACCAAGAGTGCAGAAGCTGAGGCAGGAGGACTGCTGCAAATTCAACGCCACCCCGGGCTATACAAGGCCAGACTGAACTACATAGTGAGACTGTCAGAAAGTATAAAAAAGAAAAAAAAATACTGCTGTGACCTGTGATGACGTCTCTCAATCCCGAGCTGTTCCCACTTATATGCTTGGGACACTCAGATTTTGAGCTGGAGATATAGCTCAATGGCACAGCGCCTGCCTCCCAAGCGCAACATCCTGAGTTTGATTCCCAGTAGAAAGAAAAAAAAAAAAAAAAAAAAGATTGCCAGAATATTTAAAGGGAACCTCTCGCCTGACTTGCTTCTGAACTCCACCTGCTGGCTGGCCACTGGGTGCTCAGGTGTCCCACAGGCACTTCAGGCTTGTTTGCTTCACAGAGAAAAACACAACGTTGACTGAATTCCTTCCCACCACCACCTACAAACCTGCCTGCAACTCCTTTTCTTCTCAACTGTTAAATTATGAAAGGGTCATAGCGCTGAATTCAGGCTTGCTACCTGGTAGCCCTGGCCCTGGTTCTCTTCCATTGTTTCATAGCTGAAAGAAATTCTAATTCATGTAGCTAAGTAAGTCAGAAATAATCACCATCCTTGATAGCCCTGCTTACCTATATGAAACCCTTTACTGATCTATATTAATTTTATCTTATCAATGACATCACCTCTCTGATGTTTCACTACCATGTCTAACCCTAATACCAAAAGCCTCCTTTCCATTCTCACAGGAAACAGAATTATTTGCAGAACACAAACCTAAGCCTGTATAAAACATTTAACAACTTTTTCTCCTACAGTGAATCACAAAATTCTTTTTTTTTAAAAAAAAAAGAGATGGACTCTTATGCTGTTTTGCCAGCTGACCCCAAACTCTTGAGCTGAAGTGATCCTCTTGCTTCAGCCTCCCAAGTACCTGGTACTACAGGTATCTGCCACTGCACTTAACTACAAAATTCTTAAAATGACCTGGCTTCTTCTTGATTCAGGATCTCATTTCTACCTTGTCTTTCCACTGGCTGTCCTCTCTGCTAATCTCAATGTCTTGGGCCTCCTTTTTCACTCTGCACATTTCCTGGGCAGTCTGTATCTCACACAGTACTTCCTGATGCCTCCTAATTGTGTCCTTTCCCACACCCCATCCTCCTTCCTTCCCTTAACTAGAGCTGTCTCCTCACTGCTGTTCTACTTCAGGCCAACACCCTGGGTCACTATGGCATTCTATTTCTGGCCTGTGGATTCCGGTCTAGCCTGTCTATACGTAGCCAGTGATCTTCCAAAACCGTAAGTCTAATGACAGCACTTGCCTGAAGTTTCCTTTCAGAAAAGTCCTCACTCCCTGTGGGATAATCCAGCAGTGTTTCTCAAGGGCAGCACCACTGGTACTTAGGGTGGGTGCCCCTGTGTATCTGCGTAACAGGGTGTTGGGTTATCTGGCCCTCCCCGCACCTGTGGTCTGTCGTGCTTCTGACCAAATCCTTAATCACAGGCACTCTCTCCTTAGCTATCCAGGCAGTGATCTGTGGGCCATCTTCCCAATAGCCAGTGCGGGCGCCCAGGGTCAGCTGAGTAACTGAAGGAAGTTGAGGGTGCTGAAGTTTGAAATCCACCCTTCCACACACACACCTGCGCGGGCTGTGCCACCGCGGGAGAGCCTGCCCTCTGGCGGCCACCACCCTCTCTGCACAGGACAGCAGAGAGCACCATGATTCCAGAGGCACCTAGCCAGTGGCCTAGAGGTTCAGTACTTAAAGTACTTTCCTGTCTTGAAGCCTCCTGATGCCTCACCTCCAGACCTCCAGACCTAGGTGTTGGATTGTGGGTTGCTACAACAGCCCGTTTAAGATGGGTTTGCTATTTGGGCTTCCCCACGAGACAACATTCATCTTCTAGCCTGGGCACCCCCACCAAGCCTGTCTCCTTGCCTTGGGATACTGCCTTTACACTCTCCCCTCCACCTTGGTCCCAGTGTGTCCTCCTCCTCTTCACTCCTCACCAAATACAGTTCCACTTAGGGCTGCACATGACGACGTCCACCTTTAGTGCTGGGGCCTACCTGACAACAGCCCTGCCAGAAATGGTTACAAATAAGGACTTGCACAACTATTTTTATCTCACTTGACCTCTCAGCATTTTGTCAACCCCATCTCCATTTTGCAACTTTCCTCTCTCGGATTTTATGATTCTCTCCTGGCTACTGCTTCTGTCTGCTTTCTTGGTCCTAAATACCAGTGTCCCTGAATGTATCACTGCTGATACACTGATGGTTCTCATCTCTATCTAGATTTCCCTCCCTCATTGATCCAGTTCCTTCTGGATGTCCCACAAAGAGCTCGAAGACATCCCAAGTTAAACTCTACATCCTTGTACCATTCTTTTCTCCCTTACTGGCTAGGAGGGACTCCAAGTTAGATGAATGTGAATTCCAGAACCAAGACAGATCTAAGCGCTGATCCCAGCTTTGCGCAAGCTATTCTATCTCAAGCAGGAAAGCCTGAGCTTCCTTATCTGGAAGTAGGAGTATTAGTTGCGACATGGCCTTCTTTGGTTCTCCATCACCCACACGAAGTCTAAATTCCTGGAGGACAATTAGACACGGCCCTTTCTTAACCTGCAGATCCATTTTCACTTTGAATTATTTTTGGTTCCCTGAACATACCAGATACATAATGCTGCACTCTGGGACATCCTTTCCTAAACCAACCCCCACCCCTCCACACCCAGCACACTATTTATCACCTATTCTTCATGTCTGAGCTCAGTCTCTGAGAAGTGACTCTGGATTAGGTGCCCTTCACCTGAGCGTGGGAACGGTCTTAGTCTCCACTATATTGCCAGTTACATGTATGACAATTTAAGGAAAGAAGCAAGCAAAAGACAAAGATGGTTTTCAGGAGTGTGTATTACACAGGTCTAAGTGCAAGAAATGGCAACACTGCTATGTTTGCTTTAATAACTCATCGGATGTTAATGCAACGTCCTGGTGCTTTTGATGGCTCCCTGGTTCTTGACCCCTCCCGAACTGGCTGCATTCACTCTCCCGGGTGAGTGGGCAACCTCTGTGTGGAACATTCTTCCTCCTATCCCCTGAGGCATCAGGCACTTTGGTGATGCTCAGGGATGGCTCGTCTTTCTTCACTTGTGCACATTCTGACTCGCATAGCTGGTTTTGGGTGAGAACCTCATGAGGTGGACAGGCCAGCCCAGGGAAACTGAGTGGCTGTGACTTCCCCTCTTGTCCAGAAGACAGACGTTTAGGATGATCCAGAGCTGTGGTTTCCAAATCCCGAGGACTGGCTAGCCCACCTGCTGCTGTCTTTCTGCTTGGGGATGGGTTGCCTGGGCCCTCAGGAAGGAACTTGCAGGACCATGTGCCTGGCATCCCAGGGGTGCAGCTGGCAGCAGAACAGCTGGTGGGGATGTGTCCTGAAGAGCTGGGACAAAGTGCTGCTGTCAGTGCCTGGGTGTGGAGGTGCTGGGCCTTTAAGCAGCTTTCAGTGGGGGTGAGGTCGGTTGGTCCAGACCTCCCCAGGCTGGAGGGTGGTAAGGAGGAGCTAGTAGCCTCTTCAAAGACCTGTGTGTTCCCGAGCCTCCTCTGGGGGATAGTAGGACCTTCTGTTCTGGAAGGCCCCACAATGACCCCTGTCAGTAGGCCTGGGGCCATTGAACCCTGGTTCCTTGGGTCCTTGGGCAAGATGGTTTCCTCTTTCCCATCCTCTCCTGCTCCTCTCGGGGGTAGATTCTGGCCCACTTCTGGATTGGGTGCCAAGCTTGGCTCCTGTACACCCTGGCTGCTCTCTGCCTCCTCATCGGTGTCATCCTCTGAGGAATCTACCTCACGGATAGCTTCTTGCTTTTGCAGTGACTCTCGTCTTTCAGCTCGGTCCTGCCGGAGCGTGCCTAAGGCCCTTGAAGGAGCAGACTGCAGCACCCCCTTCCCTTGCAGTGCACCTTTCCCAGGCAGCACAGCCCTGGTTCCAACTACCTCTAGAGGGCCAGCTTCCCTGGGTGGCAGTTCCTTCTTTAGCTCACAGTGGGGCAGGTCAAGCCCATGCTTGTGAGAAGGGGCACGCTTCTTTTCAGAAGCAGCCAGTGCAGCCGCCAGTTTCTCAGCAGACTGTACCCGCTTAAGTAGCGGTGAGCGAGGGGGCTCTGCACTCTTGGGCCTGGAGAGTTGCCTGCCCAATGGAGGTGACAAGTGAAGTTTGGTGGGAAAGGCCTGGGCTCCATGGCCAGACAGCGGCGATGGGGAACGCTGAGGGGAAGCTGCTGGTGGAGGAGAAGGGGTGTGGGCCAGCGGTGACAGCGGGATGCTGCCTGCTGACTTGCGCCGTGGAGAGCGATACTGGCGTTGGAGCTTAGGAGCCAGACCATGGAGGGAGCTGGGCCGTGTGTGCGCAGAGCCAGCTGGAGAACTGGGCACGCTGGAGCTGGGGGAGCTGCTCTGCGATGAATTTCCTCCCACTTTATACAAAAAGACAAAGACAGAAGCTTGTTAGCTGCAAGAAGTGACGGAGAGGCAAGAGGCAGAGTCCGAGGATTCAGCCCTGGAGTGTTCCACCACGGCTCCAGACTATAGAAACAAAGTCACTCCCTCCCTTCATCAACTCCTCCCAAGACCACTGGACCTTTCGGGGGCAGGCTGAAAGAGATTCGGCGTGGAACATGTGGGAAACAGAGCCCAGACACATCCCTATTTCCCGGGGGATGTCTCTACTCTGCACAGAGCCCTTTGTACCTGAGTGTACGGCATCAGGGGCCGCTCGGTAGCCCTGAGTGGGAGACCGGGGAGAAAGGCTGTGGCTGTGTGTGGGAGAGCCTGGCCCACTCTCCCCTGACGACAAGGAGCGGTTCAGGGAAGAAAGGCTGCGGCTGGTGTGCAGCAGGGAGGCCTGCTTGGTGATCTTCCGGAACAGGGAGCTTCTTTTTCTGCAGAGAAAGGAGTCCATAGCTGAGCCGACGCACAGGGCATAACACACTCAGGGCCCAAGGCTAAGGCACCCAGCGCAGGCCAACACCTGGTGCTCAGAGCAAACTGTGGATTAAGCCTCACTTACCTTTCTTGCCCATCCTTGCCCCGGCTCCGCTTGCTCCTTCGGGCCATCTTGGCCTTGTAGCTGCCTTTCCGAGCCGGCCCCACTTTAATGGAGGTGTTCTCCAGGGGAGTTGTTGAAATAGATACCTTGTTTCCACTCTGGGAAGAACAACAGATGAGGCTAAGCCACGATGGTGGTGGGGTTCTTCCTCTTGACCCTGCACCCTGCCCTTTGACATGGCTGTACCGCAGCTCCAGCTTTTGACCCGGCACCCAACATGTCTGAACAAGACCCATCTCCCCTCTCTCCAATTAGGAAATTGCTTCCACGGGCACTCAGAGTGGCCTGCGGTGGGAAGACACAGAAGGGTCTCTCCTGGCCTGTTTGACAGTTGTACTTATAGCTCAGAAAGAGCCCTAAGCCTTGCCCAGTGAAGGCAGTGCCTTCTGGAGAAAACCGTGTCATACCCTCTCCCTCCTTTCCTCATAGGGTCGAGGTCTCTGAAGGACCCCAGCAGGCAGCACTGTCAGGACTAACCTTCAGGATCAGCTCCACCACCTCTGTATGCACCAGCCCGTGCACAGGCTCCCCATTGACGTGGGTGATGAGGTCACCCTGACGAAGCCCTGCTTCGCTGGCTGGACCTCCATCTTCCACATGCTGTTCCAGGAAGAGAACAGTCTTTAATCTGGAGCTTCAGCATGAAGTGTGGGCTTTGTTTTGCTTATTAAGCCCTGACCCCCTTCACCACCACCCTTTGGCCTCGGTGATTAGTGGGGACAGCACTAAAGAAAGGACACACAGGTTCTACTAAGGGGAAGGAAGAAAAGTGATGAAGCTGGGAGACAACAGGTCTAGACAGCCAGACATACCCACACCATGTGGTGCACAGTGTAGACATCTGAGTCACCCATGTAGACACGAATGGCCCGCAGAGTGAAACCATACTTCTTGCCAGCTCGGTGGATGACGATGGGAGGCCTCAAGCTGCCAAGGGCTGGCAAGAAGTCCCTACTTGGAGAAGAGTCCCTGGATGACGGGTTGGATGACTGGGAGTGCGGGGACATGGGGCTGACCAGTGGAGAACAGGTGTGGTGCTCTGGAGAAGAAGAAGCCAGGACTTAGTGCATCTCAGGCCTTGGCTTGGCCATGCTTGCAGGCTGGCCCTCTGTCTAATCTGCCGAGTCCTGCCCAGCTCTAGTTACAGATAGAGCTAGAGCCCAGGTGCGTCTTCCCCACGGATCCTGACCCATAAAGCCCTCTCACCTGTCCAGAGCTTCCCAGGCTCATATGGGGGCCTGGTGATAGGAAACAGTAGCTAGTGTTTATGTATCAGGAATGATACAAATGCTTCATGCTTTATTTAAACATCACAATTATCCTCTGAACCAGCCACTATTAATATCCACATTTTTAAAACGATGAGGCTTGAAAGGGTTAAACAACTTGTCAAGGTCACGAGTCTTTAGTGATGGGGCCAGGATTTCAATGTTAGTCCTATTAGCTAAAGCCTGCACTTAATACATGGTGCTGTTCTGCCCTCTGGCACACACACAACCCTGAGACACCAACACACACCTTCAGAGACTTCTACCTTCATAACAAGATGACACACAGTCTCTGATACCTGCACACACACACATATATCTGCCACTGAGGCCCCTGCTCAAGCCCGTGGAGATTCTAAGTTCTTTCCTTATGAGTTTTATCTTAGCTCCCTGGAGATCTCACCTGCAGGAATGAGGAGTGAAAGGGCTGTAGCTGAGGCAGACTTGATTACTTTGTTGACAGGGCGAGTGGTGCGCTTCTCTATAGAGTCCCCAGAGAGTAGCCGGTGGCGAGCCCTACGCACAGCCAAGTCACTGATGGCCTTGGCTGTAGCTCCCTCAGCCAGCTGTGCGGTCCCACGGCCGCGGGTCTCTATGGCTGTGGGCCCAGGTGAACAATGAGACCAACAACGCGGCTGAGCCTCCCTCCCCCTGTATTATCCCCCAGCCAAAGCCCTTTCGATATCCACCGTGCCACACCTGGACAGGAACTGCCGCCCTGGCTAATGAGCTCTTCATCCAACTTCAGCTGTCGTTCCACTGGCTGTTCAGGGACAGGCCCAGGTGCTCCCTCTCCAGATGGGGGTGTCAGAAGCCATATCCCTTCCTGCTGCCTCCTAGGAGCGCTGCTAGCCGCCTCTGGGCCCTCGGAGAAGTGAGGCACATCCAGGAGGCCTGAGCAATGGTGTCGCACTGTCATTGGAGGGCTGGAGTCACTCTCTGTGTGGGACGACTCAGACATTGACAGCTGCTTCCGTAATCTGTGAATCATGAGGCCTGGGGTGAGATGACCCAGGTAGTATCCCTCTTCCCACCCAGGCTTCCTTGGGTTATATGAGAGCTACAATCACAGAAAATGTCTTCTCAGACATCCTTCTAGGACTGCCCTTGGGAATGCTGCCTCACTGCCATGCCCCTCCCCAGGATACATTTCCAGAGGCCACCCACAAACTGTGCCACCTACTCTGCTGAGCCCTTGGTGCTTACATCTCAGGAGAGCCAATCACCCAGCTCCGGTCTCGGCTCTTGAACCCTGCCAGGCCATCTGAGCGGTCCTCCTTCTCCTCACTCAGGCTGCGCTTGGTAGGGGGTGGTGTCCGGCGTTCCTCAAGCAAGGACAGCCGTTCCATGCTACTGTATACCTGTGGGCACAGGGGACATATGAGGGATAGCTCTGACAGCCACACCTCCCAAAGGACGAAAGACATCCCTGGCACTGAGGGATGTGAACAAGTTCTTTCCTTTCCTCTGGGGAAGCAGCTATTCCACTGGTCTAACTTGGCCTGACCCTGACACCTCTTATGTCAGGAACTGGATTGGTTCTATGTAGCCCCAGGCCTCTGCTCTGTCTTCCTGCAAGTGCTCCCAGTGCCCATGCCCTGCGCCCTCCCCAGGCCTGTCCCTCAGTGGGTCCTCTTCTCCCAACCTTTCAGATTGGGACTCCTTAGTCACACCTTGCTAAACCTTGGAGAGCAGGAGGAGAACTGGCGAATCTCAAGGCAGCCATCCTCACTCACTTCCTCCTCGTCTTCTGAATCCACATGGTGGTATCGCTCCGAGCGGGCTACGCAAGATATACAAGACAGTTCCCTTCAGAGCCGCTGCTGGAAGCATCCTTGTGACCCTCTGAGACCTCAGCAGGGTCCTGAGAAGTTACTCTCAATGTCAACTATGCACAGATGTTTCTGGGCAAACAGGTGGGACCTATACTCCACCTTATACCACCAATGGCCTTACTGTCAAAGTAGCTGGTGTCATCTTCTGACTCCAGTTGAGGAATAAATTCAGCCTTCTGGCGAAGAAGTCCAGTCCAGTCCAGACCCGTGAAGAATGGGTGCTGCTTTACCTCATAAGCACCACCTGTAGACAGGGAGGGCATGGGCTAAGGGGTGGAGTGAGCTGCATGGAGTCTGGGGCAGCATGTCAGGTGAGAAGCTGCCATTGAAAAAGGCCTGGAAAGCTCAGCACCAGTACCTTTCTCTTTTTGTGCCTATACAGGGAACAGGGCAGAGTTTTAGGATCCAGGGGGCCTGCCCACACCTGAAGCCTGAATCTCAGGATATGTGAACTGGCCACCCTTCCCCCTTTTCCAAGTGGTGAGAAAGGAGAGTGGGGCATGACATACCTGTGCCCAGTCTCTCCAGAGGGTTTTGATGAAGCAGTTTGGAGGTGAGGTCTTGGGCATCTGGAGGCAGTGCATCGTCACCCTCAGGCCACACAATTTCATCTGATGTCATCAGGAGTGAAAGGGGAAAGAGAAATTGTCAGTAGAGTGGAGAAATGTAGAAGGTGGCCCCGGGATAGTATAGGAAAGCAAAAAGGGCCCAGCCCAGAGCCCCTGAAAGCTTTGCCTAGGGCCTCAATTCCTTAAATTCTTGTAGGCTCTTCCTGGCCTCGTAGAATCTACTTCTTACAGCATGGCTTGCTCTTTGATTCAGGCTGGACATTGCAAAACAGTGACTTCCCCATACTGAAGCCCCAGCTCATCTTGTTTTACATGCCAGACACACACACTCACACTCAGAGGATAAGCACATACATAACACAGGAGTACCACGTACACATGGGAGTCACATGAACACAAACAGATCAAGCTTCGGGGGACAAAGTGCATGTGTGTGCACTCACACAGGTGCCCCCCACCCCCACCCAAGAAGCAAGCATACCAAACACTCACAAATTCAGAACAAGAGCTCTGAAGCTTCATAGGTACATGCATAAATCACATTTGTAGATTCGGACTGACTCCACACTGCATCAGATGATGGTACCTACCACTGATTACTTGCCCAAAGAGCTCCTCCGGAGTGTCTCCAAAGAAAGGGACGCAACCCACCAGGAACTCATACAGGATTATGCCCATGGCCCACCAGTCTACTGGCTTTCCATAGCCCTGACGCAAGATCACTTCTGGCGCTATGTACTCCGGCGTCCCGCATACCTGGGCACAGAGAAGCCAGGCTGGCTCAGCATCCCAAGGCAGCTCACTGGTATGATGGCTGGAGGGGTAGGGGTATCCCCACCCCTGGAGTAGGAGAGTCTCTGAATGAAGTCTCAGCTTACTTTAGTTAATAAACAAGATCAATGGGAGCCCCTGGAAACTGGAGTTGGAGCTCTGGGTGGGGTGAATTTAATATATTTCCTTATTAACCAAAGTGTCTAATTCTAAGTTGGAAACTGCCATCCCGAGCTCCTAATGTGCTTTTGGAATCTGGTCCCATAAATGGCCTTTGCCCTCTAGCTTCCCAAATAATAGAACCTACCAGTCAGTCATGTGACTACTATAGGGACTTGTGAACATTATACTTAAAATGTCAAATCAGGGAACACCACGAGGCTATTCTCAGGGAACTGAGTCACAGTCCAGTGGAAATGCGGAGCTATGGAGAGCCTTGACTGTGACTCAGGCTGGAGCTTCAGCACTGATACCATATGAAGCCCTGTGTTTATAGTTATATGACCGATTTTTCTCCAAACTCCAAGGAGGAAGATGACTGGATTTACACTCGCACAATTCTCATGGCACATCCTGGTTTTTGTTATTGTTGTTTTTCTTTTGTTATGTTTTTGGTTGTATTGAGGATTAAACCCAAGCCCTTCACACTGAGCTAAATCATCAGACCTTTCATAAAAATATTTTTTATTTAGAGATAGGATCTTGCCAAGTTGTCCAAGAAAGGCTCAAACTTGGTGATCCTCCTGCCCTTAGCCTCCCAGAGTGCTGGGATTACAGTCCTGTACCACACTGCCTGACCCCATCTTGTTTTCCAAACGGGCTACCTATTTCAATGCCTCTCTGGAATCAAATGTAGAAAAGATTCCAGTATTAACATCTGGCCACAGGGTAAACATGCAGTTCCAAGAACTAATTCTGAGGTCTGAAATTCAACTCCCAAGGTCTCACAAATCCTACCTTACCTGCTTATCAAGGAACTCGCGGGCATCCTTTTCAATGTGGCCTTCATACAAATTGGTTGTCAGACTCATAAGGCCAATTTTAGAAAGTCCAAAGTCGGTGAGTTTGATGTGTCCCATGGATGTAATCAGGAGGCTGGAAGAGCACAGAAACAAAACCGTGCAGTTATTTTCTGACGTTCTAAGAATGCTGATTTTAGTATTTGTCAGATTTCCCCACCCAGACCTTGATGAGGTATTGTGGGACATAAGCAGAGAGGCAGCTGTGAAAATAATAAACAGCTCTGGTTTTCTAAGTACTGCCTTCTGCATGAGCTGTTCATCTGCCTTCTGTCTATTCCCACGACTCTGTTTTTCTTTATTGCCCTGTACTTTCTTTTTCATAGAACTGAGATCGGCTCATCCTAAACCTGTTGCTCTAGCCAGTCCTGGTTTCTCTCCTTGTTTGGGTGGCTCACAATTTCAGGGAAATGGTAAGAGGAAGAAAAGGGCACACAATCTGGCTCTGTGTCCACAGTTGTCTTAGAAGGCTGGGTGAGAGAAACTAGGAATCAGATCTCTTTGCACACTCATTTTGCATACAAAATGAGTCACTTCATTTTGTGCCGAAGTCTTTATCTTGCCCGCCTTTATTTTAATGACTCTCAAGTCACTATCTCTGGCCCTGATTTCTTTCATGACTATATGTCTAGCAGCTGTCCAGATACCACAAACTCAATCTGCTCAAAATCAAAACAAAGGCCTGCCTCCTAACTGGCTCTTCTTCTCAGGGAAAAATGCTATTTTCTGTCATTCTACTGAGCTTTGAAAACACTTTAATACTGTGATAAACACTTCGAAAATGCTCTGGAGCTAGCTCAGCAGTACAGCACTTGCCTAGCATGTGCGAGGCCCAGGGTTCAATCTCTGGTGCCATTTAAAAGAAAAAAACCTGGTCCCCAAAACGTTTACAGTAATTAACATTAAAGGTAGGTATTAGTCTCATTTTAGAGAGGAGGAACATGAGGCTCAGGAACAGTTAGTTAACAAGCCAACTCACAGAGTTAACAAGCATGAATGGCCATCTGAACTCAGGTCTGTCGGGTATCAAAGCTTCTTTCCACCGTAAGGCTTACCAGTCCCAAACTAGAAATCTCAAAGGTATCTGAGCCTCCCTCTGCTTCCTCACTTTCCTTTTTGGCCCCAGCCCCACATCTGTCCTTTCTATTTCCCTACACTATTCTCTTTCTACTCCATCCTGCTCCTCTAGCACATTACAGGCACTCCTGCTTTGGCCTGGTTTCCTGAAGTGGTCTCACTCTTTCTATTGGCAGTGATCTTCCTAAACCTAAACCAAAATCTCACGGTTTGATAGGGATGACATCTCAAAGGCATGTCATTTTATCCTACCTTTGGTTAATAGGCTCTTCAAAAATTTTCTGGGCCCTTTTAAAAGAAAACCTAAACTTAAAAGAGCCCTTGATATTTAGCCCCTGCCTCTCCGATGTCAATCCTTTTTTCTTAGTACAACTGCTTAAGCTACAGACATGTACTATCTGTAATTTTTGAATAAGTCATGTTCTCTCATACCTGTACATCTCAGTCCATGTTGCTCTCCTGCTTCAGAAAGTAGCTCCCACACTTTCTCAATTAACTAAAGTCTTCCAAGAAATAGCCTCTCTGCTTCTCTCTCTCTCTCTCTCTGTCTCTCTATATATATATATATATATATATATATATTATCCACCTCCCACACTAGGTTTAAATGAAACATACCAGGAGCTACAATATAGTTAAAACTTAGAATATAGTGCTGGGCACAGAACAGGTGTCAGTAAATGTTGTAACACTCATTCAGCCATCTGTTATTAGATGTGCCAGTTTTTTTGTTCTTGCTTAGTTCTTCAGCAGAGCCCTTCAGTAACTCTTTCATGTCACTGAAGCTTTATGATGCTCCTGGCAGATCTTGTGGCAATGGTCTTTGCATATGGGATTATCAGAGCTTAGAAGGACACACACATGAACACTGTTTCCTAGCAGCCATTCTTGCACAGATTCAAATGTTCTGTGTTTGTCTGCATTTATCTAAAGACTCAAGAGGGAGTTCTTGGACAATGGACCCAGATTGTGGGCATACTTGTCAGGCTTGAGGTCCCGGTGCACAATGCCATAGTTGTGTAAATACTCCAGGGCCAGCACAGTTTCTGCAAAGTACAGACGCACCATATCCACAGGCAAAGCGCCGATGTTCTTCAACAGGGTGGCACAGTCTCCTCCTGTAAGAAGGACAGGCTACCATAAGGGAAAGATCTGGTTCCCTACTCTAGCCAGTTCTGAGGTTTGCTGTATGGAGTACCCCGGTGCTGGAAACTGTAATTCTAGTCCCTCTGCTGCTGACATAGTTGGAAACCGGGTACGAAGGGGACAGGGAGGTAAGGTGAATTTGCCAATAGCTGTCAAGACCATCATGTGGGTGAGAAAAGAAAGGAAACCTAGGCCTTTATGCCTGCATGATGACTTGTAGGGATAAGACTTGAGTTATTATAGGACAGGAATACTGTCCCAAAACATTCTGAGTGGCTTTAAGGAGTACCCCCTTTACAAACCATCAGCCAGGGCAATGGTTCCCCTTTCTTCTGAGGGCCCAAATGCAATCCTCTTAGCACTTGGCCTTGGGCTCTTGTGGTTCTGCTACCTCTTTTTTCCTCTCTGATCCCAGCTGAAGAGGGTGTGCAGGATTTGGGGAGTAGAATTCTATAGCTAATGGGCTGCTACATCGTGTCTCAGGGTACCTCTCACTGCAGCTGACATGAGCAGCCCCATAACGAGGCAGGAAGCTTTGTGTTCACTGTGGCCAAATGGTCTCTGAGATCCTGTGGCAGAAACCAATGCCAAAGAGGACTTGGAAGCGGGTCCTGAAACTTCACTCCCGTACAGCCTCCGGCTCCTGTTTGGGGCTAAGGCTCAGACTGTACCATGGCCCCAGTACCTTCAACATACTCCATCACCATGCACAAATGGCGCTTGGTCTCGAAGGAGCAGAACATGCTGACCACAAAAGGGTTCTCGGCAAAAGTCAGTATGTCACGCTCCACAAAGGCCTGCTGGATCTGGTTCCGCAGGATCAGGTTCTGCTTGTTGATCTTCTTCATGGCAAAGCGCTGCCGGGTGGACTTGTGCCGTACCAGGAATACAGCCCTGAGAAACACAACACAGCCCAGCCTAGCCTGTATGGGTTGCAGCATCTGAGCTATGTTCCCACCACCCAACTGCCTCTTCACATCTTATAAATGAATGGAAGAAGGAAGCACAGCTGTGCATATTAATGAGAGGGATCTAGGCCCTCTAATCCTTACAACTTAGAAGTTTCCCAATTGACCATGTCCCAAGGACACAGTTCAGTGGTTCCAGAGCTCAGGGACAGGAGGAGTGCTACCAAACAGGGGTGAGAATCTTGCCTGAGAAAAGTACAATGCTTCAATGTCAGAGGAAACAATTCTTGCCTCTCCATGAGGCTTCAGGAAAGGAAAGGGTCCACTCTAAGGCACCAACTGCCCAGGAAATTGGGGAACATACAATTCTAGAAGGAAGAGACCAAGGGCTGACTCAACTCCTTTCTTGGCCACACTCTGACCCTGCCTTTACCCATAAGCGCCATTGCTGATGAGCTTAATGGTTTCAAAGTCCTCTTCAGAGGGAGTCTTTTTAGATGGCAAACATGCCCCACGGCCCTGGAAGACAAGGGAAAGGCAAGAGGCAGGCATGCTTCTGAAAGTCCACATGCTGGGGGATCTATGGCCCCAGTCCCAACTCAGCTCTCAGCTGTGCTGGAGTCTTCTGCCCGTTCTTCCCCCAAAGTGGCAAGCCTTCTCAGTGTTTGCAGCTGCCAACTACACATCCTTCTTCAGGTATTCTCTTAAAGAGAATTAACAGTCCTTTGGTTCACAGGGCTCAGCCTCCAGGATTGGAGCAGGAGCTCAAGTTCTTTACCTCGACTGAATCATCTGTTTCTGGAGTATCAGGACTGTCATAGCTGCTCAAATGGGCCATTTCTAGAAACATAAAAAGGACACAAAAGAAAAAAAATGTGTGTAGCAATGTCAGGCATCATGGTACCCACAGGTAGGCAAAAGTGCTTTCTGCCTGGGATGCAAGTTCAGTCCTGGAACTCTATCCTTAGTGTAGTCATAGCTTTTGGATCAGCAATCAAGTCAAATGTTTCGGTAAGTCTAGTACCATCGACAAAGTCTGGCCCATTCTAAATAAAAGCTTCGCTCAAGCTTGCCACATATCCTGGAAAACACGACTTAATTAAGGCTGGGTTACCAGTACCTACCCTGCTGGCTGAGACTGCTTTGCTTGCTGAATGGGGCTGGGAAGCAGGGCAAACAGGAACAGGACCACTACTGACCAGGATGTGCAAGCCTATGGTTCATGGAGGGGTTCAGCATGAAGCCAGAACAATGGAGATCTCCTGAGTTGGATTACCCCACAGATAGGAAGATTTGTAAGGTGGCCAGCAGGAGAAGGAAGTACATACATGGAAGAGGTGACCATTTTTTGAAACTATGATTGTGGTCCTCTATTTAACTTCATTTGTTAAGCTCATTTGATCTGAAGCTCTAAATCCAAGCTGGCTGGGTTCAAGGGAGCGAGAGTGTTGGGACACAGAAGGCAGCTGCAAACAGCAATTCCAAAGGAAAGGAATTGACAGAGGCCACAGAGTGCCTCATATAGTCCTAAGGCTTCTGATGCCATGTTGTGCCCACATCCAAGCTAAATCTCTTCTTTGCAATACCAGGCAGCATGCTCACCCTCAAGGGGATCCCGCGTAAGGCCCAGTTGGCTAACAATGTAGCGGGGGATGTCGCATTTAATTCCATGTCCCTCTTTGGCGTGGCCCTCAGCTGCTTCTAACAGGTGATAGAACTCTTCTGGGTCAAACTCCTGTACCAGAGGGAGAGACAGTGAGTGGTAAGAGATATACGTCTGTTTTTACAGCATATAGCAGAAAGGGGCAAACAAGAAGACTTTCTCTTTGTGATACCCTGAATACCTAGAAATAATATGATTCGGGGATCACAGAAGTGGGGGTAAAGCTATCTTATAGTCCACTCCCAGGTGATATCCTAAGCATGCCTTCCTGGGAATAAGAATAAGTGTTTTAGGTTTGAAAAAAATCTCAGCCTATTCCCTTGGTGTTGGACCTTCCAGTCCAGAGCAGTCCTGCCACACATTCAACTGTAGCTCCCAGCCCTAGTGATACACGAAAGCCTTCAAATATTTACCAAGTACCTCCTGAGTGTAAGAAGTTGGTGCTCTAATTCTGCCAAGAGCACAGTCTTTGCTTTCATATCATACAAGGGCCTTCTAAGTGTCTAGCAAATGTCAAACTCTGGGCTAAATCCTAAGAAGTCTTTGACTCCAGGGAAGAAAGTATGGCTCAGAGAGATGCACTGACCCATCCATCCACGGTTGCACAAATAGGCAGGAACAGAAAACCAGCATGAAATCCTGCCTGGCTTCGAGCTCCCGCTTCACTAGACTTCAAGTTCTGTAGCCTCTCCACTTTGTACTTGCTTTTATTCCTTCCAGGTCCTGCTGGAGAACTGCACTACTACCTATCTGGGTGTCATCTAAGCCAGATCTGGAAGTCCTTTTAACTTCTTGTTCTTTCTCAGCTCTGATCAGAATGTCTACCTCATAAATACCTCCCAAATCCACTTGTCTTTTCTCCTCCCACTGTCCTAGTTCTGGCCACCCTATCTCACATGAATTGTTTTACGTATCTCTGAAGTGGTTTCCCTACTTCATCCTGCCCTCTCTTCCACTTTACGATCTATGTGAGGCCAAAGTAATTTTTCTTAGAGCTAAATCAGAAATAAATAGGAACCACTTACTAGCATATGTAATAACATGTATAAATCTCAAACAAACACTACATTGAGTGAAAGAAGTCAGAATATACTATATAGATTTGTAACATGAAACTACAAAGGTAAATGTATCCATAGGGAAAGAGCAGAAAAGTGGTGCCTAGAAGGAAGGATAAGGACCAATCCCAAAGGGGCACGAGGGAATTTTTTGAGATAGAAATGTTATTATCTATGTCAGCTATGGCAGTGATTTACAGATGAGTATTTGTTAAAACTCAATGAAATGTGTAGTCCAATGGGATATATTTTACTATATGTAAATTATACTTAATAAAGTTGGTTAAGAAAAAAGTCATTCTGACTGTGACACCTACTAACCTAAACTTTCTGGTAGTTCCAAGTGGCCTTAAATATAAGATAAACTCCTGACCTGAGAACCTAATACCCTCATGGACTTGGAATGCTTACCTTCCAGCTTCATCCTTCATCAATTCTTCAAACACATCCTGTCCTTCACTGAATGTCCTATTTTACGTTTACCTGGCAAACTTGTAGTCATCCTTCAGGTTACTAAATAGGCCACATGTCCCCCATGAAGCTTTTACTGCACGTTCATTCTAAGGAGGATTCTAAACCACTACTTTCATTAGGTTCCCAATGCACCTTGCACTGACCTCAGTTGTGATACTTCTTACAATATACAATCATTACTGACACATCCACATGCCTTCTACTTGCTAATGCCACTACAGAGGAAGCAGCCTGAGTCAGGGACTCTGGTATATTCCCATGTACACCTGCAGTGTCTAGAAATAAAGTAGGTACTCAGTAAAGTGTAGCTGACTGATTAAATGAAAGACTTCAATTGTGCAAACTAAACTGCTCCTGGGCCCAAAGCCTCCACTCCCTCAGGGTGGGAGTGGCCCGGACTACTACTTCCTGCCACTCCCTTCAGGAAAATTCGTTTATCCTTACAGGAACCTGTTTAGTCCTCTAATGCTTGCAAATCTTATTTAAAAAATGCTTTTGTTTGTACATGTTTGAAATACATAATGATTATATTGCTCATGAGGAGTTGGTAGATGTGTATAACACATCTTAATTCTTTTTTCATCTCCCTCCCTCTCCTCTCCATCTCTTGGTCCTCTTCGTTTTTGCAAAAGATCTATCTCCCTATTTCCTATTATCTGTCTTTTACTTTCCTCTTTATATTTTGGGTTTCTCATGTCAGAGGAACCATGCCTGTGTGTTATGATTTAACATGCTGTGTATAAGCTGTGTGTCTGACTTGTTTCACTTAACGTAGTGGTCTCAACATGCATCCATTTTCCTACAAATGGCTCAAGTTTATCCTTTTTATGGTATAATAGTACTCTGTTGTATGTAAATGCCATATTTTTTTAATCCACTCATCTGCTGATGGACATAAAAGCCACTCCCAAGATTCAGATATTATGAATTGTGCCACTATAAACTTGAGCATAGATGTATCACTATAATATGATGTTTTTAACTCTTTTGGGAGATACCTAGAAGGAGAATAGTTCATTCAACTGGAATTTCTAATTTTAGTTTTTTGAGAAATCTCTATATTGATTTCCAGAACGGTTACACTGTACTAGTTTATATTCCCACCAACAACGCAGAGGGTTCCTTTACCCTGTGCATCCTTGGTAGTATTTGTTATTATTTGATTTCTTTATGACAGACAGGTGGAATCTAAGTGTTGTTTAAGGCCAGGTATGGTGGCGCACACCTGTAATCCCAGGAGGCTGAGGCAGGAGGATCGTTGGGAGTTTAAGACCAGTCTGGCTACCAAGTGAGCTCAAGGCCAGCCTAAACTGTATAGTGAGACTCTGTATCAAAAAGACAAAAACAGGGCTGGGGATTTAGCTTGGCAGCACAGCGCCTGCCTGGCAAGCGCAAGGTCGTGAATTTGATTTCCGGTACCGGAAAAACAAAACAAAACAAAACAAAAGACAAAAAAAAAGACAAAATACTTCCTCTACAGCCCTCTCTCCCATCTCCCCACCTAAGCTTCCCACAGTCTACTCACCAGGCACTCTAGGAGTCGAGCTGGGCGGGCAATGATAATCATCAGTTTTTTCACCGGCTGAATTACAAAAGTCACCTCAGAGCTCTCTGAGCGCTCATGAGCCTAAAGAGACACAAAAGCTGCTTAAGCAACTTACTAGCTCAATGTGGCTAGGCTAAGCAGGACTGGACTGGGCAGAGCTGACTACAGGAAAAAAATACTTGGTAGTAGACTGAACTCTGCAAAGCAAAGAACTCAGAGAAGACTAGTTAGCTGTAAGAAAGAACAAGTTGCTCATCTGGAACCACTGAGCTTTAGAATACTACATGACACCATGGAATGTCACAAAGACACACAGCTTTACCTGCTCTTTCATTCAATAAGCTTCACTTACCCTCTAGCCCCCAGCTCAAGGGGCAACTCTCAATGGAGCCTTCTCTGATGTTCACTTTGCACCCCAAACAGACTGTAAGGAACAGAAAGGCCTCAATAGCTGGGAGTGATATGACCAGAGAGGTACTTCAGAAAGATCACCGTGGCTGTGCATTAAAGAGGGCAAATCTAAAAGCAGGAAAACCCATTAATAGGCAAATGTAATGACTCAGATGAAAAAGGCTAAGTCAAGAGAACAAGGATGGAGAAAAGTACACACATAGCCTTAGACCACTTCTGAGATGGACTGGGACTGGTGGGGTGGCAGAAGCAGAAAGCAAATGTAACTGTAACTTCACTTTCAGGAAAATTTAATTATACTCATAAATGAATAGAAACTATAAGGAAATAAACAATATAGGTTGAGAATAAGCAAAGAACAAATTACATTTGGTTTTAGGAAAAAGACCAATCAAGTGGAAAAGGTAAGTATAGTGCAAGATACCTATACCAGGAAGGAACACTTTTCTCTTTTCACTGAGAACTGTTTAGCCTTTTATGAGCCATATTTATACTATATGGCTGCACCTTCCTTCCTACGTCCAAGAGCTGATCAGTGTGATTGCTTTTCTGGGAATTTAAAAATGGACAGAGAGACAACAGTTAATATCAGTGTAGCAGAACTGTGTAATTTTTCATTTGAGTGAAAGGAGATGGTCACTCTTCCTTACAGATAATAGAAAAGCAGCAGGGAGAAACACGTGAAAAGAAAAGAACAAGCACTCTCTGAGTCTGCCAGTTTCTGGTTTCTAATTCTGGTCCTTTCTTAAGGTCTGGTGCATTCCTATCTTCAATTTTCCAAGACTCATCTTTTTATGCTTGCCACTAGCTTCCCTTTATTGCTAAAATTACTGAGTCAGATTCGTTACTTATAACCAAAGAATATGAACCAATATAGGGAAATCAAAGTAGAGAAGTCCACAGAAGGTACACATGGGAGTCCTCAGTGGATGGATGAAAATTCAGCCCCTGGGGGAAGACAAGGTTTGTCAGCAAGAGGGAGGATAAATAAAACAGAGAACAGACACTCTGGATGGTGCCCTGTGAAATATCAGCATCCAGGAGAAGGAACCTATGAAGAGGCAGCAAGACTAGAGAAAAAGTAAACCAACACAGGGAAAATAAAGGTTCAGAAAGTGAGGACTGAAAGAGTCCACAGGATTTGGTAATTAGTCAGTTAGTTTCTTGGTGACTTTTGCCTTACAATTTTAAGGGGAACTAACTAAGAGGCAGAAGACTAGTGCATTCGTTACGAGAAAAGAAAAATAGTAAATGAGGACTTAAAAAACTGGTTATGAAATTTAAAGGGTGAAAATACTTTTTATTCTTTTTAGTTCAAATATCAGTGTGAAGTCTTATCTAATCTCCCATGCCTTCAACACACACACAAGAGCAAGCAGTGACTGCCCTTTGGTGTCCCCTTGTTTGCTCACAGCACACGGACTATCAGGTTGTTTTATCATGACTTGTCTGTCTCTACAGCTACATCCTAGGGCCCCAAGGCTTATGGGTAGTCTGTGTCTGGTCTTTTTTTTTCTCCTCTCACATGCTAAGTCTAGTACAATGCCTCTTATACAGAAGAAAAAAAGTCAAAAGTCAGTCAATATTTGCTGATGATGTGAAGCTCTGGAATAAGACAAATCTGAGTGTGGGTTCTAGCTTTGCTACTTAAGAAATGAGTTAATTACTCTGGGTTAACTTAGCTCTTTGAAGCTGCAGCTTTCTCCAAATTTAGGATGAAACAGTACTTGCCTTATAGGGCTGTTCTGAGGATTAAATTAAGTAAATTAAATGAGCATATATTAAACGTTCCCTGAATGTAAGGGATTTAAAAAATTTTAAGCATGAAAAGGATGATGTCATTTTTCCATTGAACACCACTGCATGTATCCACTGCCTTCACGATAAAATCTAAGCTCTTCCCATGGCCCTGCATCATTTGGGCTTCACTCTAACTTTAAATTTTAAAATTGAAAATTTATCAACTTTTTCTTGCAGGCATCCTTTAACTCTAGTCATGTCAAACTATTTTATTTGCAGTTTCTAGAATGTACCAATTTTCTTTAAGCCTTTGAGAGGTTGCTGATACTGTTTCCTAGGATTAGTGACGAGCTATTTGGCAAGATTCAGTATTTCACACAGAATCCTCTTCTGTGCTCAGAATTACCTCTATTTAATACTCATGAATTACACTGTACTAAATAAAGGGAGGTAAGATAAACTATAAGATGCTCTCATGTAATGTCTGGTCATAGTACTCATCAGTAAATGACAGCTGTTATTTTTATTGTAAATATGTGTTGATGGGTCTGTAACTCAAGAGATACAGCCTGTGCTGATTTTTTTCTGCATTCCAAGGCCCAGAAAAATCAGCAAATAGAGGTACAATTTGGTTTTAAATTCAGTATTCTTCCTGCTCTACCAGTAACCTCACTTCAGGGAAATGTGGGATGAAAAAAAATGCCTGAAGATTTTAGGCAAGGTTGTGATGTTAGCATTTTTTTTTTTTTTTTTTTTTTTTGGTTTTTCTCCGGTACCGGGAACCGAACTCACGACCTTGCGCTTGCCAGGCAGGTGCTTTTGCCGCTGAGCTAAATCCCCAGCCCCGATGTTAGCATTTTAGAAGCTCAATCTTGGATGTAGAAGGAACTCTGGAACTGGATGTAGCAGCACATATGTCATACCAGTCACCTGTGAGGCTGAGGTAGGAAGACCACTTGAGTCCATAAGTTCAAGACCAGCTATAGCAATTCCCTGACTCCTAAATGTCTGTGGCCCCCCATCTGGTGTTGGAAAGCCGGTAAAAAGTTATTCTTGAACAGAAAGAGCGGCTTTTCATGGGAATTTGCTTTCTAAAGTTATTTGATATTTGGATTTAAGTATTACTTTTGAAATTACAGATAGAATTTTTTGTAGAAGGTAGAATTTTTTTCATCTAGACAAAACCTTTTTCACTGTCACTCCTGCCCACTGGGCTGGTTATTTCTTTATGGGTATAGAGAATAATCTGTTATCTATGCCATATGAAAAACCTAGTACAATAGTACCTCAGTTTGGGGCTGGGGATTTAGCTCAGTGGCACAGCGCCTGCCTGGCAAAGTGCAAGGTTGTGAGTTCAATTCCTGGTACCAGAAAAAAAAAAAAAAAAAAAACCTCAGTTTATGCATGCTTTTATCTGCAAACAATTTGTTTCGCAGACAGAAACATTTGGCAAAATCTTGTTTTTGGTGGCAAACTCTGCATGGGGTGACAAACATGATCGTGGCCATCTTTCCCACACAAACACAAATATGGCCATCTTTTCCGAAGTCATAGAACAAATTAAATTTGTGAACCAAGGTACCACAGTATTTTATAGCAATAATCATGACCATCCTTAATCATCCATCTCTAGAATCAACTGTTCCTCCCTTTGGTTTCAAATTTCTCTGCTCCTTCTAATTTCTAGATTCACAAACTGAAGTCCCATTTGATTATTAGCTCTGGGCCCTCAATTCACTTGATAATACTCCAGACAGAGGTCACAAGTCTAGAGGCAACAGCAGGTTCTTGAATAGGGTATACGATAATGATATGACGAGCCCTAGAGAAATAGGCATATCACTGCTCCTCCAAACTGTACTCAGCATAACATGTGGGAACTGTGATCTGAGTAGGAAGGCATCCCATCACCTTACTTGAGAGGCTGAAGGCAACCAAGCACGGGAGCATGAAGCAGTGGTTAAGAACTCAGTGTATGCTTTGGTCTTGGTCACCTCTCTACCTTTAGCTTCACAGAGATTTTTCATACTGGGCAAAATCAGGTATCTAAACATAGAAGTCCTGATTACAGAACTTTTCATCATGTTAATAAAACAACAGCAAATAGATAAACCCATTCAGTAAGCCATATCCACTGGTGTCATTTTTGAGCTTTAGGTAACAAATCTCTTAATCTAATACTTATGAATGCTATAACAGTTGCAGTCTCAGGTAGAGTAATACAGTTTTGGATTTAGAAAAGAAAGTCTCAGCCAGACATGGTGATACATGCCTGTAGTACCAACTGTTTGAGATGTGGAGGCAGGAGGATTCCAAGTTCAAGGCCAGCTTGGGCAAATTAGTAAGACTGGGTCTGAAAGTAACATAAAGAGGGCTAAGAATGTAGCTCAGTAGTGGTAGAGCATTTGCCTAGCATATGTGAAACTGTCTGGCTTCAATCTCTAGGATGAAGGAAGGAAAGAAGGAAGAAAGAAAGGGAAGAAGGAAAAAGAAGAGAAAGAACCAAGTTCCTCTGATATCAAGCGGGCTTCTCTCAGTAATGCAGGGGCGGGGGAGGGATCTGAGTCCATAGGAACCACACTTAGAGGTGGCTTCTGCACACTGGTAAGGAGGTTAGCAGGCTGAAAATACTACTAGTTCTTGATTTCGGCCTGAAGACTACCATGTAGAAGTTTCATCACAGCCCCCACACCAAGACACTCACATCTTGCAGAAGTTTCTCTAAATTCTCCTGAAGTTCGTAGAAGTAGTGTGATGTAATTAGGCCACTCCGAGATTTATCCAGGCAGTCTCGGGCCAGCTCAATCACCTGGTGATGAATAAAGCTCAGGGCCCCATCTGCCAGGGGCAACACACTGTCTGGAGTGTTGGAGGAAATGAACTCTGCTAGTCGCTCTTCCATTTGTGCAGTGGCCTGGGAATGAAAGCAAGAAAAATGACACTTCCCTTCCAGTCCCAGTTTAGCTGGAGCTAAGCTGGAAGGACTGGTGATAGCCTAAGGATTGGCTCCCTGTGAACCTGGTTGTCTGGTGTTGTATCTGGTAACCTGAGGACTGCAGACATGAAAAGACCACCCTCAAGTCAAGTCAGAAGGATCCAGCATTATACTGAAGACCCAATATTGCCTGGCTTTGCCTTCACTCCTCACATGCTCTTTTGCCTGCAGACTCAGAAGATTTGCTGTTCTCCTTTACCCTGATGTTTTATGCCTCTGTTTTTGTTTATGCTATTCTCTGATTCCAGTTGCATTCTCACCCTGACAGGTCTGCCTTACTCTTTGTCCCACTCAAGCATTGTCTGCTCTGAAGGTCTTTCAGTCCTTCTCACCATCAGGGACCTTTCCTCTGTGCTTTCTTCCACTGGGCCTCCTACGTGGATACACTTAGACTAGGAAGTTGTGAAAATCAGTTTTATTGTCTCAGGATCCTTTTACTTGACCTGAGAACCTGTCTAAGGAGGTTCTGCTGAACATAAGCAGGTGTTCAGAGTTTCTACTGAAGGTATGAATCTGTTGGTCTCATGCCAAGCTGGGATGGGGGTTATGGATGGGAACATGACCCTGGCCTGGACCCTAGCAAAGCAGAGCAGAGACTTGACTTAGCTCAGAGACGTCTTTGGAACTTAACTATATACATCAGTGAACAAGTTCATAGCTGTAGAAGACTCTGGCTTCTTTCCTTTGCCACTAGGTGGTGATTTCTTATGTCCAGCATATGCTAAGGCAAATATAGCATAAATGTGCATGTGTGTATGTATGTGTATGTGTGTAAACATGGGCAGGGGAGAGAAGGGATCTTGGCACATTTTCTCCAGCAGTTCAGGCCTCACATGCACGACTGGAAACATGCCTGTAAGCACTAACCTTATGTGTGACAATGATAATGCAATAGCTAATATACAAGGAGGAATAAACGTGAGATGTATTTCACAATACCACACACTTGGAACTTTAAAGTACAGCAAAATTACTTTCTAGCTCTTCTGCTCTTTCTTTGCTCTTATTCTCTAGTGCCCACTCTAACGCTAGAAAGTCTAGACCATGGGGCACAAATAAAACAGAAATGTAAGAGTTGATACTTGCTATGTCCTAGACACTGAGCAGAACTTGATGCTCACAAACTCCCTATGAGATAGACACTCTTCTTATTCTGAATCATAGATGAAGCAAGTGAAGCTCAGAGAAGTTAAATAATCTGTTTAAGTCACACAGATTTGAACTCAGGCACTCTGGCTCCCGGTTACCATGTGAATGTCAAGGGAGAAAAGTGCAAGGGCTTAACACCATCTCCCTCAACCATGCAGGAGACTGAGCCTGAATCTAGAGGAAGTGGCTCTCAGAGGAGCAGGAACCATGCACTGCAGATCCCAGACAGAGATCCTGACCAAGACTGAAGAATCAGTCTTGGCCACTTAAGGCTCCTGTCATCATGGTGTTAGTCCATTGTTCTCCCTCCAACAAGAGTTAGATGCATTTTGCAGAAAGAGGGCTTATCTTCAAAGGCCAGGTCAGAGTACACAGCAGGTAGTGTTCAAGTAAAAATGTAAATGGGAATCAAAGTTCCACTTCTGCAGATGAGGTTTCTGAGAAGGGTGAATGTTATTTCTCAGCTATCTCATGGTAGCAAACTACCTTTGTCCCTCAGCATTTTCCCCCTTGAAAATGTGAATATAAATGTTAGTAAGCAACTGTGAGTCTTCTATCTCCTGTTTTTTTTTTTTTTTTCTATCTGCTGTTCTGACCTTCTTCCTGCCCAGCATCCCCTGGCTGTGTATTCTCTGGGGCCTAGTAAAGAGATGCTGCTTAAGAGTCTGTGCCAAAGCCAGGTGTGGCGGCACACACTTGTAATCCCAGAACTCAGGAGGCTGAGGTAGGAGGACTGCTGCGAGTTCGAGGCCAGCCTAGGCTACAAAGTGAGTTGAAGGCCAGACTGAACTGCATGGCAAGATCCTGTCTCAAAAAGACCAAAAAAAAAAAAAACCCAAAAAAACCAAAACAAAACCACACACACACACACACACACACACACACACACACACACACACACAAGCAGACAGAGAGAAAGAGAGAGAATCTGCACCAAAGGAAGGTGCCACCAGAGGGCAAGTCCTGCCATGAGAACCAGACTCATGAGAAGTCTGGTTCTTCCTTTCCTTTTTAAGATGGGGTGGGCAACTTTCCAACATACCCTTCTAGTCGCCTCTCCCTCCAGGGAGCGAGAAATACATGCTCTGCAGGTACAGCCGAAGTCATGTCCCTACTGCCTCTTGGAAGCCCTCATACCCGGGCCCTCTTCCTCCTTTGGGTGACTTTCTGCTCTTTTTGTTGGTCACCTCAGCAGGTAGAACTTCACCCCTCACCCCAGAGTCTTCCCATTGGGCTGGCTGTAGGCAGCCATCCTTGGGTTACAGCTCCATCTCATGTCTGTTTTTTGTTTTGTTTTGTTTTGTCTTAAATTTTTTCCGGTACCAGGAATCAAACTCATGACCTTGCACTTGCCAGGCAGGTGGTTTGCCGCTGAGCTAAATCCCCAGCCCCTCCATCTCATGTCTGTATGCATGTATAAGAGTAGGAAAAAAAAGAATAGGAAAGATTTATTGAGGGATAGCTCCTGAGAAACAGGAGGGGACCTGAAAATGGGTTGTTCTCCCCATCTCCTTTTAAATGGATCCTTACCTTGGGGAATCTTTCTTTGTACACATGATTCATCATTATTATTTCACTGTCAAAGGAAACTGGAGACCGTCCAGGACTGAACAAGAAAGAAATAATTGTGTAACTTTAGTGCTATGAAACTATCAAGGAGAAAGATGGCCATCCCCAGAGCCCTGGCCCTCCCACTGTCTTTAGTACCCCACATAATCCCACTTGAATGAGAGCTGAGTTGCAGAGCCTACCTTATTCGTAGAGTTCCTACCATACATTATACAAATCAAAATGTTTCTTTCTGGAGTGAGACTACCCTTCTACAAAAAGTTGGACTTTCACACAGACTTCTGCTAGGGTCTAGAAAGGCTGAAAAAGAAGCCTATTCATGAGCTCATTGGTAGCTTTGCTAGGATGACCTTCCCAGAACAGGACTCTATATCCCCAAAGCTTTGGCTACTGAAATATAGTTTATCTGGTATGTTCTCAGAATCAAATCAAACAATCCCCAAAGCATCCAAAGGGAGACTCTATACACCTATTTCACCTTTCTTTTTTTCAAACAAATTGCAGCCAATGGGATTAATGTGGGCTCTAATCTGGGGTATAAATGAGGCCAACCCAGCCTGTAATGAGTTATACACGTGGGTTATCTGTTGAAGACAGCCAGTATATTCTCAGCTTTAATTTATTATTTTTCCTTAGTGACCAAAACCTTCCTCATGCACGATTACATCTCCCTAGTGGATTTTGAATTTTGAGCAACTGAATGGATATTTGGGTCTTGCCAAGTTCAGTGTGCCTAAAAGAGATCTCAGATAGGGTAGGTTCTGAACTGTTCCTCTCTGCTTTTTTTTTTCTTTTTTTTTTTTTTTTTCCTCTCTGCTTTTGTCCCTGAAGTAGACCCTATTCTGTTCAATGTACTGGCACACATGACCAAGTATTTAAGAATAATGTAGTGGGAACTTTCCTGAGTATCACTGTGGTCCTTTTCATCTCAACTAGCCTAAAAGGTACCTTTTACTCTGTGTAAGTCACAGAGATCACCATGGTTCAGGTGTTCCTCTGTGGGACAACGAAAGGCACTGGAAATCCACATTCACTCATTTGTATTCTTGATCTTTTGCACTTAAATCCTATCATCTTTAATCTCTGAATCTGAATTCAGAGGCCCAGCTCACTCTGTCACTCATGGTGCCAGTATTACCTGAGGGACTCTTCCTCTGCAACCTACCCTGTACATGCTAGCCACTTCATTACTCCTAGAGACCCTGGAAAACTAAGCTCAGTCACCAAAGCCATGCTCATTTTAATTTCCATCTTCTTCCTTAACCTGCAATGTTGGCACAGATTTACCAGCTAATGCCAAAAAGAATGGACAAGTAATCAGAGGAATTTGGCTGGGATGTGGCTCAGTGGTAGAGCACCGGCCTAGTATATGTGAGACACTAGGTTCAATCCCTAGTACCATTAAAAAAAAACAATCAGAGGAATTCACAGATGAATATATTGTTAACCTTTGTTTGGCCTGATAAAGGCGGGCCCAGTGACTCAAGGAACTGAGTTAGATTCAGATAGGCATTTAATTCTGCTTTTGAATTGGTCTTTTTCCCTAAATCAGCCAACTGTGTCTATAGCAGCAACTTTTCTAGTTGGCCTAGCTCATGTGTCCTGGGCCCACAGTTTTCAGCCAGGTAACTGTCAGAACTCATGATATTGCCAGGCATGGTGGTGCATGCCTATAATCTCAGCACTTGGGAGGCTGAGGTAGGAGGATCTTTGCAAGTTCAAGACCAGCCTGGGGTACAAAGTGAGCTCAAGGCCAGCCTGAACTGCATAGGAAGACCCTGTTTTAAAAAGACGAAAAAAACCACAAAAACCTGATGATACTGCTATTCTTTTAACAAATAGAGTGGGAAGGGAAAAAAAGAGAAAGACTGCGTGATGTGACTAGATAGTTTCAGGGATAATGGGCTAAGTTGAACCTGAAGCCAAAAAGGGCTTGAGTATCACTGCACTTGACTTACTCAAATTGACTAATGTGCCTGCAGAACAATCCTGGTCTGCTGCTTGTTTTTGTAAACAATGGTTCAACCTGGAGCTGCCTCCACACTACAATAAGACCAGAGTTAAGTAGTTGTAACAAAAAGGTATGGCCTGCAAAGCTTAACATATTTACTGATGCCCATGTTATACAAACAAGTTGAGGCCCACAGGTATGGACAGTAGATGACAGCAGCCCTCACCTGAGGCTGCGGGAACGGGGCCGCATGGCTGGGGACTGGCGTCCCTCCTCATCTGGCACACTTTCAGTGCTGAAATGCTTTGTCAAAAAGTGCAGCTCATCAGCTGTAGGCTGGAAAGGCAACTGATGCAGCTTTTCTTGTGAAGAACAGGATGACTAGAGGAGAAATATTAAAAACAGCATTAAGTACACATGCAAGGGCAGTTCATGAATGCTAAAAGACTGAAACTACTCAGGGACTTCCTGATCAATGTAAACTCAAAGCAAGGCTTCCTTCCTTGCTTCCTCTAACTGTGACTGGGCACGATCTTGTTCACCACAAGCCCTTAGGAGCACCATGTGGCAAGAAAATCCACCAGGAAAGAAAGTTACTTTTAGATTTGAACTTGGAGATTGGATTTAACCTGTAACAATTATGATGTCTAAACACAGCTCAGTGACTGAGCATTCCTGACAAGAGCCTGCCAATCCCCACAGACATCTGAATGACCCAGCGCTGCTGCAGGAACCCTGCAGATGCGGCTGCTGCCATGAGAACCCAATAGATTAACTCCTGGATCAGTGAGCGTCCCTTTACCTGACACAGCTGGCTAAGACAGCAGGCAGATCTAACAACACTGGCCCAGTTTCTACTCACCAACTGATCAAGGATCTGTGGTTTAAATATCTTAAACCATTTAGAGCCAATGCTGTGGCACCACACAGGGAGCTCTGCTGTCACAGGGTTAAAACCAAGCGAGAAATGAACACCTCTGGGCTAACAATGCATGCCTCTCTTACAGAATGTTATAGTATATGCAGTTTTAAACAACTAGTGAGGCATTTCCGCAGGGCTCTGGTTGGCTACATTTTTATAAATGACTTAGATCTAGCCTGCAAACCATTTACCTAACTACAGCTAAGATGAGCTAATGGCTGAATATATATTATGATGGGCAAAATGGGTATTTTAAATTATCTCAATAAACTAGAGTAATGAGTTGAGTCTGTTAAGTTTACTGAACAGAAATATATATATATGCATATATATGCATATTATACACAGTGTATATTTAAATACTCATACACACACACTGTCAATTACTTTAGGTTTACAACAACTAACTTTGAGTAAAGGACTATATAAAAAGGAGTGTTTATTAAGGAAAAAATTTAAGCTTAGCTGCCAAAGACCACTAGTGAGAACTTTGGCTTAATTTAAGAGCAATATTTAGGTCAAGCGGGGAAATGGTATTTTTTTTCCCTGCTTGGGATTCATGACTATAGACAAATCAAGCAGAGAAGACCTGAAGAACTATGGAAAAAATGGGGTACAGTCATCAAGTCTACTGCCTGCAAAGTCTGAAACACTATTTGTCTTTTTACAGAAATTTTACCAACCCTGTCACCCTAGCTTTAAAAATAAAAAACTGCCTCAGGAGAATTCATTTTTACGGTCAACTGTGCATGGTAACAATTAGCGCATCTGTTATTTTTTAGGCTAAAACTGCTAAGAGAAAAAGTTTTAGAGACAGCTCCAGCCTTTTATTGATATACACAACCCTTGGATATCAAACAATATCACTCTTTTTTCCTTTTTTAAAGAAAAAAGGGGAAAACAGGAGGGAGAAAGTCTACTAGATCTTTGGGCCATAGGAAGGGCAATCTGTTCTTAGTTGTAGTTCTTGAAATAATGTTGCGGGGAGTACTGGAAACATGCTTAGGAGCTCCCATGCCTGGTTTCACTGGCAGAGCAAAATTTCAAGATTCACCAGGAATATCTGGCCCCTGGGGAGGGTGCTAGTTAATTCTTCCGAAGGATTATGGATCTTGCTATGGCCATGAAGGTTACCAGCTCTCCACTCACTGAGCCCTATCTCCAAGCAACCTCTTCGAGTTTGGCCTTGGGGAACAAATTGAAACCATTTTTTAGCACTAGACCAACCTGAAGGGATCAGAGTATACCCACAGGTTTGGCTACTTACTGAGACAGTAGAGCTAGGTGTGTTGGTTCCATAGCCTGAAGAAGGTAAAGAGGCCAAAGACCAACGCCGTCCATCAGTCCTGTGCAAGAAAACGAACATCAGGAAGTTCCTACAGATCCTCACCCTGAGTTCAGAATCTGCCTGACTGTGTCCATCAGCATTTTTGGGCTCTTGATTCTCTGGTGGTCTCCTCTTTGCCTCAGAGTACTGCTTGCTGTGGCACATGCTCTTATAACTAGCCTATTTGTGTGTTTTCCATGAATTTGGATAAGTATAGTATTACATAACTTTTAATAGTTATAAATATTTAATAGTTATATAATATACACTATATTAATAGTATTATATAACTACTTGGGAGGCTGCTTGGGAAGATCACTATTTCAAGTCTGCCTGGGCAACTTAACAAGACCCTGCTTCAAAATAAAAAGGCCTGGGGATGTAGTCCACTGCTATAGCACCCCCTGGGTTATATAGTACTATTTATATAATACTATTTTTTTTAAATTTTTGTGATGTAGTTTAGGCTGGTTTTGAACTCATTACGTAGCCTAGGCTGGCCTCGAACTCACAGTGATCATCCTACTTCAGCCTCCTGAGTGGTGGGATTACAGGGGTACACCATCACACCTACTTTTTCTTTTGAGGTAACATTTCACTGTGCTACCTAGGCTGGCCTCAAATTTTAGGTAATCCTGCCTCAGCAACTAAAGTAACTGGGATTACAATTATGTGCTACCATGCCTAGTTTTATTTCCTCTCCTTCCCCCTACAGTGCTGAGGATTGAACCCAGGGGGTGCTATAGCACTGGGCTACATCCCCAGGCCTTTTTATTTTGAAGCAGGGTCTTGCTAAGTTGCCCAGGCAGACTTGTATTAGTGATCTTCCCAAGCAGCCTCCCAAGTAGCTGGTATTACATGCATGTGCCACTATGCCTAGCTTTTATTTCCATTTTTGAAATTCCATGTGAAGGGCTCTTTGGTCTTTTCTAGGCCACTGCACTGGCAATCAGGAAGAAACAGACAACCATCTGGGTATGAACCGAACATTAACTGATAGCAAGTAGTTACAGGCTGTGCCAATGCCCCATAAAACCAATCTTTGAGGATGCCTGCTGAAGAGTGACAGTAACCTTACCAAAAAGTAGGGAAATGACATACCTTTGGCTGTATATGAGACTTTATGGGGGAGGCTTCCTGCTGCTCTCAAAAGGATGCTACCCAAAGCTCTCATCACAAAGAACCACAGTTATATGCTTTACTGTAGAAGAGGAGGATTAAGCAGGTATCTGACTTGAAGCTTTTAATAACATGGACATGTGACTCTGACTGGACTGTAGATATGGTACAAAGTACTCTTTCTCATGGAGCTTGGGGTATAGCCTGCTCAGGTTGAAGTTGGATAAAAAATTTTTTTTTTGCTGCTACTCACAGAATTTTAGAACATCAGCAATAGAGAAACTTTAGAAGTTAAATTCTCATTACATTTTCAGAGAAAACTCTAAGACCCAGAGATCTGGAGGATTTGCTCAAGGTGTCAGTTATGATGAGGGCTGGTGGGAGGAGCAAGAAAACAGTAATACATTTTGGTAGGGCTTCTCTTTCTGCAGTACTCTTCCCCACCCTCAGCAATACCGAGCAGCCTTTCTACTATGTTTCATAAGGGAAAAGCCCAGGTTCCATGCCACATGCATATGACTCAAACTTCATGCTATTCAGGCTGCTAGCACAGGGCAATTAAAAGTCTGCTGGAACCTCGTCTCTGAGGCAAAGAAACGTGTAACAGAGTGCTAAACCATGATGTTCTCTCTGACCTCTTTGCTGAGTCCTGAACACCTAACATAAGGAAGCCATTCAATTCCAGGAAAATAAGAGCTCAGCAAAGATGAGACAGGTATAACATACAGATGAATTTCCTAGGCCTTTGTTATACTTTTTCACATATGATTTTCAAGCTTTTAGCTAAAAATGTAAATCAATCACATGGCAGCCACTTCTCTGTGTTGTATACTGAAGTGCACGAGCCACCAGAATCAGAATGAAATGCCACCACACGATGTCTCTGTTTCTTTCATCTGACCACCTCACCAGGAGACTGAAGAAAGTTGTGAGAAGGAGAGTGACTTGTCCCCAGAATCAGAAGAGTTCAATAACTCCCGCCTCCAAGCACATTAGCTCTGAGCCTTGGTTCCAGCAGGTAGCAGGGCATCGATCCTATAAGGCCTCTTTGCTAGATATAAAAGGCCTAGTGTTCATACCCACAGTCAAGGGAGGATCACAAATCACAAGCTACACTGGCCATGCATAGCAGTGGCCCAACCCTCTCCCCACCACACGCAGCATTACCTGTCTGCTCTGTGGCCATGGCTGTAGTGAAAAGATATAAATTATAGTGAGAACCAAAGAGAATCAGAGGCTCCCAACATTTGATCTAGCTTGGCAGAAGCAAACCTTCTGTTTAGAAATATGTGACAGTTTGAAGGGAAATTATAGGACTAATGGATCTATTTTTAGTACTTCATCTAATCTGATTTTTGTGCGATATTCCAAGCCAATGCGATCCTGCAGGTCTCCAGCCCAACTCAGTAAGTAGGAATGAGCAATTCCTGGTACTCCCTTTGTTAGGGTTGAGACAGTCCTCCCCATCCCACCAACAAGGAGCAGTTTTTCCTACCCCATTCTGTAAGAGGACAACCCAAGGTTTTATGTTCCATGCACATGAGTCAAGTATCTCGTCTCCTAGCACAGATTTGTTTGGGTCTCAGTGGTAATAATAGGCCCCAAAGCCTCCTCCCCAGTCTTACTTGTGAAGCCTAAATGAAACAAATACAAGGACATCAACAGCACCTGCTGTTTCCTCTGCCTAGAATAGTCTCCATGCCTATGTCCTCACACCCAATGCAGCAGCTGCTTCTCATCCCTCAGACTGGCTGGCCTTACATGGCCATCCAGTGGGACTCTAGCTCCACTCCTTTCCTATTCATTCATGCAGCATCGAGTTTTTTTCCTTTATCATGCTTATCACAGTTTATAACCCTATATTTGTTTGCTTTTTCACTTATTGTATTCCTCCTTCACCACTCATTTTATCAATAACCACTATTATAACCACAATAACCACAGGAAACAGAGTTTTTCAACAAATAAGACATCTATTAAATTTGATTCTAGCTAAGGTGAGACAGAAAACATGCAACTAAGAAAACATTAGGCACTGGAAAATACTAGTTTGGAAATAAAACAATGATTTGATAGAGAATAACAAATGGGCCCCCTTTAGATTGGGTGGTTAGAGAAAGTCTAGGAAGGTAACATTTGAGATGAAATATAAATGAGCAGAATGAGTGAACTAAGTGAAAATCTTAGGGAACAGCAAGATCTTAGACTATCCCTCTCAAGAAAGTAAGGATTATGTCTATTTTGTTACCACACTATAATAAAACACCTAGCCTAGAGCTTGGCTCAAAGTTGGTGCTCAGCAAACATTTACTGAATGAATGTGAAATAAATGAATGCCACCTGCAGGCATTGTCACAGGTCATGCTGTTCTAGTTCATAGTTAATCTGAGGCTACAGTTCATACACAGTCTTAAGACAGGAAGTCTCAGATAAACCTTTCTAAATGAATGTAGCAATGGAGTATTCTTCAGCTGTAAATGACCCTACCTGAGTGCTTGGTTAACTAACTGGAAGTTATATAGGATAGGAGAGACAAGTCCATGGACAAATAGGAATGAGACTTCCTTTGAATAAGACAATTGGGTCAGAAAGGATACCCAGATTAGCATCAAACTTCTTCCTAGCTGCCCAGCTCCTTTTCAACTAGACAGAATCCTAGAGAGGAAGAGGATAAATTGAATGTTTTCTTAGGCTGTCACTTGAACAGTGAGCAAAGGTTGTTTCCAGGTGTCTTTTGTTTTTCTCTTGTGACTTTTTTCAAAAAGTAGTCTAAGTATTAAAACTACTATTGCTTCAAGCTGTATTATGTTCTCTATTCACTAATGGTTCCAAATCTGGAGTCATAATTTTTCTGGAATTCATAGTACTAAAGACCAATTATCACCAACAAAAGAATTAAAACAAAACAAACACCTCCTCCTCCCCAAAAAACCTCTTAAAAGCTGAGTGTGGTGGCACACACCTGTAATCTCAGCACCTGGGACACTGAAGCAGGAGGATTATTGTGAGCTGAAGGCCAGCCTGAACTACATTGTGAGATGGTCTCAAAAACAACCAACCAAAACCAAAAACCCCCCTAAAACAAAACCAACCAAAAAGCCCCCTACCTCTAAACAAACAAATATTAAAAACTTGAACTTTGCCAACAAAGAATCTTGGAAAAGATTCTATAAAGAAATGAGGTGTATATGGAGCGTTGGTAAGTGATTTGGACTCCATCAGCTTGGACTTCTCCAGAGACCAGATGTTATGGTTTGGCTCTGGATGTCCTCCCAAAGCCTCATTCAGTCATGGGCAGGCTTCTAGAGTTTATGATTGATTCATGGGTGTGAGTGCTACACCCACCCTGGGGCAGACAGTTTGCATATGTAAGAAAGAGGCTGCTTGCCACCAGTCCTCCCTTTTGCTCTTGCTGCTTTGGGTATCTTCCACCACCATGAACGGTTGCCCTCTGCCATGTGCCACCCTGCTTGGGAGCCAGCCGAGTATGGACTGAAACCTCCACAAACTGTGAGCTAAATAAACCTTTCTTTCCTTAATTTTGGGCATCAGGTATTTTGTCTCAGCAATGAAAGAAAAGTAACCAAGACACCAGATGATGCCATGCCCCTGAGCAGAGCACTCAGGGTTGCTACCCTGGGCCACAGATAAGCCTGTATCACTTTCAGAGAGAATAGAAATGGAAGAAGAACGTAAGAATGGCCCTGTAATCTTTCTATGCCCATACATAGGTCTCTAGCTGAAAGCCAAGGAGAGAGATATGCCAAATTCTTCCAGCCCCTTGGAACTGGCTGGATTAGTTCCAATCCTCTAGAGAGAAGATTTTATTTTGTCACTGATCATTCTAGGATAGCCTTTAAGGGAGGTATAGTGGCTTGGAACATACTCTTAGGACACCAAGGACTCATGCTTAAGAGCATAAAAATCAGCTTCTTGTATCTACTCCCCTGTTCTAACATCCAAAGTAAATATATAGGTCACTTAAAAAGCTAAATTTGAACAAGATGATTATAATCTGGGAGAGGAACACAGGGAAGGAACCCAAGGTAACCCACTTGAAAGAACACAGATTTAAAGGAGGAATATGACATTTAAGTAACATTCATGCAAGTGCCACATGTGTTAGTCACAGAAGAGGAGGTTTTTTAGCAACTTACCTACGAGCAGGAACAAAGGAAAAGTGAGCAGGTGCATTTGGAGAGAAATTCCGGGGGCTGTCCAAAGGACTGTTGCCTGTGGTTAGAGAAATGAAAAGAAATTTACTGAAGTTTGCTTCTGAGGAGGGCTAACGTGATCTTTTTTTTTTTTTTGTCTTTTTGAGACAGGGTCTCGCTATGCAGTTCAGGCTGGCCTTGAGCTCACTTTGCAGCTGGCCTTGAGCTCACTTTGCAGCCCAGGCTGGTCTCGAACTCGCAACAATCCTCCTGCCTCAGCCTCCCGAGTGCTGGTATTACAGGCAATGTGCCACCACACCCGGCGGGCTGACGTGATCTTCACACAAAAAAATCTTCCCCCAGCACTGGCAATTAGCATCTTTGGTTACTTTCTCAGGCCACCATTAATTTATAGATCTCTCTTTGTAAAAATTTGGCAGCCCAGAGGCCTCCTCTCTTGTTCTCAGGTTGCCTGTAACAACCCATGTCTCCCAGACATCCATTCTAGATCTCATAGCAACTTACCTGTTTCCTGACCTCTGGCTTCAGTATGTCTTGTCAAGTTAACCCGACATTCCAAAGAATTAAAGAGCTTATTCAGTGCAAAAGGTAGAGTGAAATGCTCAAACATTTCTCCCAGGGAAACAGGACTTCCAGTATAAAAGTATCTCTGCATCCTATAGTCTCTATACTGCACCCAAGGGGCTAAATCAGAACATATATGCTTTAAGGGGAATCAGGTTCTCAGGTCAGGACTCATGATAGCAGTATACCTTAAAATAGTATCTACACTTAGGACTCCAAATCTACAAAGTATGCCCAACTGCCTCACAGCATAGGAATTACTACGATCTTCTTAGTTTTTATTTGTCCTCTGCAACTTGCTAACTTAAAACTCAGAAGCTCTGAACAAAATTTTGTACTTACTTTTGTACTAGTCACAATTCTTGAATCTAAGCTTGCCATACTTCTTTGTTTTGTCTTTTGGCTGGAGCTGATACTTAGAGGCCCTATTTGGCAGAAATTCACCATGTGTCTCCATTTGAAAGGCCATGCTGAAGCAAGCATCATTCCATGATGTGCTGACACTCCCCAAACCCGTCTACCTCTTCATTTCTAATGCTCCCCTCTGAACCAACATTAGTTATGAGGAACTGACCCTACCCAGAGACCTGATAGTTCAGTGTGCCCTGGCTTTCTCTTGGATAGTTTCCTCATAGGGTATGGATATTCCAAAATGCTATAAAGTCACCTTATTGTTTCCCATTATCTCTCTTCAACAAGTCCTAGTCTTTTTGTGTTGATCTGTAAATACTAACATCTCATTAGTGCAACACTACTCTATGCAGCACTCATGTGTCAATAATATAAAGACATTATCTTTGGTTGAACTAATTAGTAGGAAGAGGCTGTCTCAGCTTCTTTTTACCCCCAGGTGCACAAAATGCATAACTTTAGTGTATCTGAAGTAGGAGATTAAGGCTTGGGCAAATGAGTTAACTATAAAAAGTTTGTCTGGGGCCAGGGATATAGCTCAGTGACACAAGCGTCTACCTGGCAAGTGCAAGGTCCTAAGTTCGATCCTGGTACCAAAAAAATAAAAAAGGTTGTCAGTCATGGAGACACACGGCACATGTGCAGAACACAGGACCCAGGATGACTACTGGTTTCTGAGCACTGTGCATGGAACCAATCAGAAAATGCTATCTTCAAGTTTTCATTACAGCTGGTGCAAAACCAAGTGACCCTTTGATAGGACAGCTTAAACCTAATACCAAGCCAAATGAGTTTCTGATAGGACAAGCATCCAAAAAGCCTTATTTGCATGAAACAGAAGCAATCTAGAAATTCCAGATACAAAAGAGCCTGCCCATTATCCTGATAATCACTGTGAGCCTTTTCACAGGATCACTCTCACTCTGTAGGGCATACTTTTTTTCCACCTTTAATATATATAAATCCTTGCTACTTTTTCCATGGCTCTTGTCCCATTCTTTTTCCAGGACGCCAAGAACCTGGAAAGAATTTCTTTGGGACTCAAAAGCCAGTAACAGGGGTATTTTCAAGATGGATGATCTAGGATGTATATTCCTATGATCTATCTGGTTATCCACTGGGGTGGCTATATTAGAATAGCAGTCCCCAATTATCCAGGCACCAGGTACCAGTTTCACGGGAGTCAATTTTTCCATTAGGGGCAGAAAAGATGGTTTTCGGACTAGATTCTCACAAGGAGAACATAACCTAGATCCCTCACATGTGCATTTTATGGTAGAGTTTGAGCTCCTTTGAAAATCTAACGTCATTGCTGATCTGACAGGAGGTAGAGCTGGGTGGTAAAGCTAGTGATGGAAGGCAGGTGTAAACACAGACAGAACTTTGTACATGTACTTCCTGTTGTGCGGCCTGGTTGTTAATATGCCCTAGACTGGTACCAAACCCTGGCCCCAGGACTGGGGGGCCACTGTATTAGCATCCAAACCATTTATATGTGTTCAAAGTTAAGATATGTTGACCACTAATATTGTTGTTTCCTTGAGGATGGAGATCTGTAGGAGGAAAAATCATTTACAGGTAAAAAGCATAAGCTTTTTTTTTTTTATTGTGTCTCTAAGACCCTTAGGAATTATTGGTATTTTTTTGAATGAGTTCCCTAGAAGAGAAGAAGGCTCAAATAAATTTTGTGGCGTTAAGTTGTAGGTTTAAAAAAAAGTTGTAGTTTTTCTTAAAAATCACAATTTAAAAACTAAGATTTTCCTTTTTTTTTTTCTGACAGGGTCTTGCTGTGTAGTTCAGGCTGGCCTTGAGTTCACTAAGTAGCCTAGGCTGGTCTCAAACTTACAGTGATCCTCTTGCCTTAGCCTCCCAAGTGCTGGGATTACAGGTATCTGCTACCATGCCTAGCCTCCTTGTCTCCTTTCTACTTGTATTTCTCCTATCCTACCTTAGACATAGTGGCACATGCCTACAATCTTAGCTTCTTGGGAGGCTGGAGTAGGAAGATCTCAAATTTGAGGCCAGTTTGGCAATTTAGTGAGACCCTGTCCAAGATAAAAAAGGGTTGGGGGTATAGCTCAGAGGTTAAGCATTGGCTTAGCATGTGTGAGGCTCTGGGTTCAGACCTCAGTACTGCAAAACAAAAACAAACACTAACTATATTTGGGAGGGGTAATGTCATCTCACAGATTAACAAGTACAGGTTGCACATTCTTTATCTGAAATGCTTGAGAGTATCATGTTGGTGCTCAGAAATTTTCTGATTTTGCAGCATTTTGAATTTTCTAACTAGTGATACCTATATTAAAGAGTCAATGCTCAATGATCTTATCTGTACTCAATACTCAATGCTCTTTGTAGGTTCTCCAAACTACCCACTTAAAGCCACAAAAATATCCCTGGATGCTGAGTATCCTACAATTAGTACAGATAGCACAATGGCTGCTAGGAAGCCACTCCTCTCCAACTGCTAGAGTTTAGGCAACAACCTACGGCCAATCCTCCCTTCTACTAATCTTCTTCTTTTTTTTTAATGGAGGTAGAAAATAAAATGACAAAGATCTAAGAAATTTCTGAAGCTCCAGATCAGACCACATGGTGTTAGATCTCCTGAACTAATATTCAGTAACCTCTTCTCCCCTGGAACCTTATTCTCTCTCCCTCTCCGTCTCCATCTCCCCCTCTCTCTCTCTCTCCCTCTCTCTCTCTCTCAGTATCAGGAATTGAACTCAGGACCTTATTATCTAATTCATAATTTATCCTGCCCCTAAGAGAAGTCCAGGGGTGAGAATATTTGAGGGCCGGTTCCTCTTTCAGTTGCAGATGTCCAATAGTGCAAAGAATGACTAAGCCAATTGTTAGAAGACCCTAGTAAGCTTACAGATGGGTTTGAAACTTTGGTCCTTGCTTTTATCAAGGCAAGACGTCCAATTCATCATGACCACTTGCTGTACCTTGAATGAGACACAGAGAATGTTACAAGAGGTTACGAGCTATATACATGAACAGTATGCTTTAAAAACTGAAGGAAACCACCCTGGAGAGGCTATCCTCCCTTCAACAGAGCCAACCTGGGATTGTAATACTCAGTATGGACTAGAAATGACATCTAGTATCCTAGCTGCTCTTACCAGAGAGATAAAGAAGTTTGTTGATCTTTGCATAAATACACTAATACAGATCCATCTTCCAGGGAGGAAGAGGCACTAATGGGACATCATTTCATCTGCCAGTCAGTCCCAGATATTTGACATAAACTATCAAAACTTGAAAGCGGGGCCACAGACACCTATGGCTAAGTTGCACAGCTTTTTCTGTGCTCAACAATCAGGACCCAGAGAAGAGACAAAGGGGAGAGGCCAAGATTATAACTGTTGCAATTGGTAATGCTTTAAGCCCATCCAGGTCATCTAAGGAAAAGCCCAGGGACAACCAAGGAAAGGGTCCCCGTTTCACGTGCAAGAGCACTGGACACTGGGAATGAGAGTGCACCAAGCCCCTGCCTGTGCCCTGCCCTAATTGTGAGGTACCTAATGTGCTTGATTTGTGGCACTGGAGGTTTGACTTTTCCCATTCCCAGAGAGGAGCTGGACTATCCATAACCCTCATTTCCTTCTCTGACAATTGAAGAGGCCCAGCGGAACCTGCAATGTCCCTGTCCACAGACATCATCATCTCCTCCAAGGGACCCTGAGTAAACTTAGGGGACACGGGTGAACCAGTTTGACTGCTTACTGATACAAGGGCAGATCATTCTGTTTTGACTTCCTTCTCTGGAAAATTCTTCTCTAGATCTATAGCCATAGTAGGGGTCAAAGGGACCCCCAGGCAGATTCAGTTTTTTTGGAAAAAAACAAAACAAAACAAAACCCTGCAGCTTCAGGATTTAAAAAATACAAAAGTTACTCAAACTCAGTTTCTCTTTCACCTACAAACTGATCTTTTTCACCTGCAGACACCTCTTTTCATCTGTAAATTGCTCTTCCTTCATTTTCTTGGTGTTTTTTTTTTTTTCTTTTTGCGGTCCCAGGGATTGAACTCACAACTTTGCGCTTGCCAGGCAGGCGCTTATGCCACTGAGCT